TGTCTATTCATGTCTCCCCAGTTTTTAATTGGAGTGTTTGGTTTTGGGTGTTGAGTTTTATAAGTTCTTTAACTATTTTAGATAATAACCCTTTTTCAGTTATGTCATTTGCAAGTATCTTCTCCCATTCCGTAGGTTGTCTTTTGGTTTTGTTGATTGTTTCTTTTGCTGTGAAGAAGCTTTTTTTTTTTTTTTTGATGGAATCCCAGTAGTTTAATTTTGCTTTTGTTTCCCTTGCCTCAGGAGACACATCTAGAAACACAGAAATTACTGTGTGCTCTCTTCTAGGGTTTTTATGGTTTCAGGTTTCACATTTAGGTCTTTAACCCATTTTGAATTTATTTTTGTGTATGGTGTAAGAAAGTGGTCCAATTTCATTCTTTTGCATGTAGCTGACCAGTTTTCCCAACACCATTTGTTGAAGAGACTGTCTTTTTTCCATGGGATGTTTTCTCCTGCTTGGTTGAAGATTAATTGACCATAGAGTTGTGGGTTCTTTTCTGGGTTTTCTGTTCTGTTCTGTTGAGCTATGTGTCTATTTTTGTGCCAGTACCATGCTGTCTTGACGACTACAGCTTTGTAAGGAGCTTGAAGTCTGGAATTGTGATGCCTCCAGCTTTGCTTTTCTTTTTCAAGAATGCTTTGGCAATTCTTGGGGCGCCTGGGTGGCTCAGTTGTTAAGCGTCTGCCTTCGGCTCAGGTCATGATCCCAGGGTTCTGGGATCGAGCCCCGCATCGGTCTCCCTGCTCAGCGGGAAGCTTGCTTCTCCCTCTCCCACTCCCCCTGCTTGTGTTCCTTCTCTCGCTGTGTCTCTCTCTGTCAAATAAATAAATACGATCTTAAAAAAAAAAAAAAAGAACACTTTGGTGATTCTTTTGTGGTTCCATACAAATTTTAGGCTTGTTTTTTCTAGTTCTGTGAAAAATGCTATTGGAATTTAATAGGGATTGCACTAAATGTGTAGATTGCTTTGGGTAGTATGGACATTTTTTAAAAAGATTTTATTTATTTGACACAGAGAGAGCACAAGCAGGGGAAGTGGCAGGCAGAGGGAGAGGGAGAAGCAGGCTCCCTGCTGAGCAGGGAGCCCGATGTGGGGCTCGATCCCAGGTCCCTGGGCATCATGACCTGAACTGAAGGCAGTTGCTTAACTGACTGAGCCACCGAGGCGCCTCTGGTAGCATAGGCATTTTAACAATATTTGTTCTTCCAATCCATGAGCATGGAATGTTTTTCCATGTCTTTGTGTCATCTTCAGTTTCTTTCATCAGTGTTTTATAGTTTTAAGAGTACAGGTCTTTCATCTCTTCGGTTAGGTTTATTCCTAGATATTTTATTGGACTCAACAGATTCTTGTTTTACTCCCGACTACTATCATGTGTCATTCCTCACATTGTCCCGCTTTTGGCCAGTGAGAGCTTCTATAAGCTGGTTTGTCTGTCCTTTTGTCATTTCCCCCGTAATTGTTTTGAGCACAGATTTCAGGCTCATCTTATACTTTCCCTGCTCCAGCCCTGGAATCGAATCAGCCACTTCTCTAAGGAGCCCTAATTCTTTGTATTGGGGAATGCTATTTATCGACTAAGATCTGGATACTGACTCTTTGCTACTGGGTGTCCCTGCTTCTCAACCCTCTCAGTGGACAGGACTGGGGAAGTGTGTGCACATGCTTCCCACGTGTATGTGAGTGTAGGTGAGGTGTGCCTCTATTTCCATATGTCTGTGTGTGTTCAACACATGAATTCATACGAACAACTCCATGTCCACTCCAGGAGAGCAAGGCTCATTTGAGCCCTTCAGTGTCTCTATGTGTTGCTCCCTTCTCTGCACTGACAGCCCTATATTTATTCACTGTATATTTATGTGTCTTCTCAAACTGGAACATCTTTTCCCAATCTTTTTTTTTTAGAGATTTATTTATTTGTCAGAGAGAGCGCCAAGCAGGGGAAGCAGCAGGCAGAGGGAGAAACAGACTCCCCGCTGAGCAGGGAGCCTGATGCAGGGCTCGATCCCAGGACCCTGGGATCATGACCCGAGCGGAAGGCAGACACCTCACTGACGGAGCCACCAGGCGTCCCCATCCTTCCCAATCTTAAAAATCTGCCTATCTGTCCTTTAACTAAACAAACAAAAAACCCAAGGAAGTATACTTTTAAAATCTGAGCCACTGGATTGTTGCAGAAAGCTCTTGGTAGGTGTTCTTGCTAAGAGTGTCTCGCGCATGAGGTCGTTTGTGACTTCGTGCCTAAATGAAGGGAAGCCTCTTCCTGTCACGTGAGGAAGAATGGTTTCAGAGTTGAACACGGCACAGCTGATGCGTGTGGGCAGGGATATGGGTGGACACGGTACCGCCTCATCTCCTATGGGCTTTGCTTTGTGGTTGAACATCACATCGATTCTAGAAGAGTGGGTTAGTGCAGGAGACTCGGGGCCTCTGGATCGGCCCCACTTCCTGTGCCCAAGTCCCTCTGGGCAATGCAGTGAGGGCCACATGGCCACCTGCACACGTGGCAGGGTTTATCCAGGAGAAGACCCTCCAGATGGAGCTCACGCGGGGCCCTGCTCATTTCTCTTCAGTTGCCGCTGTTTGGAATTAGCATAACTGCATTAAAGCCAGTGTAAGTTCTGACACCAATAAATGAGTAGATGCAGACTTCTTCTGACACGGGTATTTCTGGGCCGGCATGGTTTTGATCTAGAACTGGCCGCTGTAGAGTCAGATTCGGCATTGGGCCATATCCTGGAAGGTGTACATCAGTGGAGTTAACAGAGGCAGCTCAGGGCTTGGCTCACACGGCCGAGACAGCCAGGGGAGGGACGTGTCTTTTTTCCTTAGTTTAGCTATTCTTTAAATGGAAGTTTTATAAAATATTTTCTTTTCTGCTTTGAATAGTCTTGGACTTTCAGATGGCTGATGGAGGGAAACCTCCATTTCCACTGTGCAGGTCTGAGAAAATGAGCCCTTGGTCACCCAGAGTCAGGTCCTGCGTTGGCCCCATCACTTTCTGGGCGAGTCTCCTGGTCTGGCGTGCCTGCTCTGGAAGGCGGCGCTCGCACCCCCCTGCTGCATTTGTGTGGGGTTAGATAAAACATGTGGAAGCAGGCCCCTGCACAGATGCACTGGCCCGAGGTCTCCATGGCCGAGAAAGTAAAGCTGAGAAATCAGGGAGTTACTTTTCTATCTGCCTGTTCTGCAGATGTTCACTGAGAGAGGGTGGCTTTCCATTGACTGACAGGTGACACGGGGACTGGGGACTTGGATCCTCCCACAAAGTCTCTGCTCTTCTTCTGGTTCAGCAGTCACTGGCATCGCGAGCCAGTGGCTGCCCTGCTGTCTCCAGGCCGGGGTTGAATCAGGCGTAGCCCGGCCTCGGGAGTTTTCGTGCCAGCAGCCACGAAAGTGACGGTGACAGAGATTAGACGAGGTTGAGAGCACAGCCCATTGATGTGGGCACCGGGGCAGGCAGAGCTGGGGTGAGCTGGGCGTCCAGACCATGCGGTCAATGGTGAGCTCTGTACTTCGTGATCGGAGATGGTGCTGGTCGTCGGGGCCGCAGCAGGACAGGGTCCTTGGCCCTTAAGGAACGCGTAGCGTGGAGGGAAACCACGAGGTACCGCAGCACTGAGCACGGGCTGGATGTGAGGCCCCGGGAGAGATGCGCACGCCAGGTGCGGGCGAGCCGCTGGGCAGACTCTGGGGACAGCCATGTGGATGATGAGGCATATTCGCTAGCTGGCCAGGCCCAGAGGAGGCCAGAGTGTTCCAGCAGAACTGGCAGGCTGGGGGAGCGCCAGGCTGCGGGAGAGAATAGCGTGGTGCCCTCTGACTGTTGGCACAGCCTCCAGTTGGGGAGGGCTGGCCGGGGTGCTGCCGCCCACGGACTTGACCTGCAGGGGCGTTTTCACAGATTTGCCTTTCTGAAAGGTGGACAGTGGAGGGGAGGAGCGTAAGACTAGAGCTTCACATGAGCCCCTGCTGTGGTCAAGGTTGGGGGGGAGTGCTGTCTGGAGTCACTGCCCTGGGGTGGAGGGGAAGTAAGATGCTAGGAGGACGGCCAGCTTTTGGTCAAGGCAAAGACCTCTGGGAGGTGCTCAGTGACCGGTTTGTGTCCATCTCAGGATTGGGGGTGCCAGGGGCAGAGAGGGCAACCTAAGTAATGAGGCCACATGAGTTCACCTCCTGGCCTTGGGCTGGCCACGTCCTGTGCTTCTGTGCTGCCCACTCCGGTCATGCCCTTCCTCTCCCCAGCACACGGACACCCCCTGCAGGTCCCCATGGCCGTGGTCAGCTGTGGTGACGTGGCTGACGTCCCCTCCTCCATCCGCCTCCTCCACTGGTGTCAGCGGCACCACTTGGTTCTATTCTTGTCCTGCCGACTGCCGCTCCCCATTCTGCGCAGGGTGTCCCAGATTTCCCAACCTGCTGACTCTCGTGTGGTCCACCCCCTCTCTCTGGGATGGCCTCACCCAGGCTGGAGGCTCCACATACTGACTCAGTGTCCTGGAGCTGCTGGAACAAAGTCCCACAAACTGATGGACGAAACCTGCGACTCTGGTGGCCAGAACCTGAAATCAGCCTGGAATCTCTTTCAGCTCCTGGTGGCTCCAGATGTTCTTGGCTTGTGGCAACATCACCCCAGTCTTGGCTTCTGTCTTCACGTGGCGTTCCCCTCTGTATGTCTCAGATCTTCCTCTCCCCACTCTTAAGGGACACCAGTCATTGGATTTAGGGCCTCCCCTAAATCCAGGATAATCTCATCTTAAGACCCTTCACATAATTACCTGCGTAAAGACCCTTTTTCTAGAGAAGGTCCCATTTGCAAGGACGAGGGGCTGGGATTTGGCGATCTCCTGGAGGACACCGTTCAGCCCTCTCCTCGAACCAGCCACACCCTGATGGTCACCGAGTTTGCATTTCTGGCACAGTCTCATTTGTTTGGAATGTGTGTGAGAAGCATCTCAAACCTAAAATGCCCCGACTCTTGCTTTCTCCTCCCAGGCCACAGAACCCGCTCCTCTCCGTCTGCTCCATTTCAGGACATGCGGCTCTGCTCTGCCGGTTGCTCAGGTGGGAACCCCGCATGGCCCCCTGCCCGTCCGTGGCTGCACACCTGTCCTTGCGCCCCGGTCACAACCCCTTTCTGCTCAAACCCTCCCATGGTTCCCTGTGCCCCCAAGACAGGGGGCCCCGTGGCCCGTGAGAGTCTGTGGGACCCGGGCCTGCGCATCCTGCTCCCTTCCCTTACCCTTCTCCTTCACCAGTCTGCCCAGCCGCACCAGCTGTCCGTCTCACACACCACACGGTGGCTCCTTCTGGTCCTCCTGCCTCCGAATGTCTCCCGCAGGCACCTTTACTGACCCTCCCCCAGTCTTCTCTTTCCCTGCCTGGTTGTCCTCATCGCCTCCTGACACCCGTGTGCAAGGTGGCCTGTTGGTGCCTACCAGCTCCCCGACACCCTGCGTGCGCGCCGACGGGTTGCTGCCCGTCTCCACCGGAGCCCATGCTCCCCCAGGGCACAGGATGGTACTTGAGGCATGAGCACTTGCTGAAGGAAGAGGGTAACCTCATTTGCCCCTTGGCTTTTCACAAGGTCATGTTAGCCCCCACCTCATGCTGGCTCCCTGGGCAGGTGGGAGGCCCGGGACTCCTGAGACAGGCTGGCCAGCTGTGCGGTCTTGGCCCTGTTACTCAGACTCCTCAGGGGGGCGTGGCCCCCCCGGGAGGACCTGCCTTCAGGGAGGGTGCGTGCACTGAGTGGGTTAAGATATGAAGCCAGGCTTCTCGCTCCTTCCCCGACTTGCTAGTCTTGGACAGGATTTCTCCCACTGAACATGGTCTCCCAAAGCATCACTTCCCCTGGTGACCTTTAGTGGTGCAGCCAGTGCCAAACAAGTGACTGGTTCCTGTGCCACGTTGCAGGTGTTCATGGGGGGGGGGGGGCTCGGCATAGCCCCCACTCGAATTATTCTTACTTTGAAGCTTTGCCTTGTCATCAAGTAAATGAACCATTATTTCCATCTGCTCCTACATACAGATGTTAGGAGAGTGCCCTTTGTCATTCCTGCCTTCCATCCAGTCTCCCTGACCTCACAGTTGCCAGGTCTCTTCCCAGAAGGGCTGCCCCAGCACACAGCTGGGGGAGCTGCTGGCTCCCGCTCTGTCCCCACAGCCTGTCCTCAGTCTGTGCAGGGGCTGCCTGATGCACCCCTTCTGTGTGGCCTGGTCCCCTGGCCCTCGCTGCCCCAGGAGAGCAGAGTCTCGCCGACTCCCTGTAGTAGCCCCGGGCCCAGGACGGCGTCCTGCACGTGTAGACAGTTACTAGAGGGGATGCGTCCGGGTGGGCAGAAACTGTGAGAACAAGTCCAGGCCCGGAGCACACGGAAACTCGGGGCCGCCAAGTGAGCAGGATCAGGCTGAGGGGGTTGGCTCATAACGTGGTAAGAGTGCTTCTTTCCTCTCCGTGTGAAAATACGCATTTAAAAAGTATATGGGTGTTGGGGAATAAAGGACCAAGAATGCTCTGCAATTGTTAACTGACGCTTTTCTGCTCTTGTTTCCCCAGACGCCGTTTGCTTTTGACTCAAGACGATGTGATGTTTTATTATAAAACCCATTAACCATGATGGCTACACAGACGTTAAGCATAGACAGCTATCAAGATGGGCAACAAGTGAGCGCCTGAGCTTTATTCCACATTCTAAATACAGTCCGTGGGTCGGGCACTGAAACATGACCAGTGCTTTGTATATTTATCCTTCAGTTTCGTGAGGTTGCAGGCTCAGTTTCAAGGATATGATGCACCGATCATGCGCTGGTGCTAGAAAGGCTCGCTATAGTGTTATTCAAATCATTTCTCCCAGTGATGCCAAGTTGCTGGTAATTGTGACTCCCCTAAGTCACAGTTTATTGGGAATTTCCCTTTTTGATGTCCATGCTAGTGAGTGTTGCTGCTTTTAAAGAAAAGCTGGGTGTTGAGGAAAGCGGATGACCGGTTGCTGACCTGAGCAGGAACCACGGTGTTTCCCCTCCACAGGCGTGGGCGGCGGGGGGCCTGTCCCATTTGTCGGGGCAGCATCATTGCTGTGCTGTCAGCTCCTGTTGTGTGGCTGTGCCCGGACAGCCTCTAGCCTGCCCTCCCACTGTCCGTGGACTTGGTGTTCCTTGCAGCTGCGGTGAAGGTCTGGGTGTTTCGGGTTCTGTGCCCTGAAGGAACTGGGGAGGCAGGGAGTGGGAGAAGCTCAGCCGAGGCCTGGGCAGCCTCTCTTGGGACACCTGAGGTCTTGGGATGCTCTTTGTGTTCAGAATGGCGTCCAATCCCCCTCTTGACTGTGGAGCCCTGGAGCTCGTTTTGTTGAAGACCTTCCAGTCTTTGCTTCCTGCTTCCTGTAGTGAGGAAGGCCCAGAGGCCGCTTTTCTCCCTACTCGAAGGGAGCTGGGTCGTGACAAGACCAGGGGGACTGGCCCGAATGAGGTCACAGCCCTGCATCAGTGAGGTTGCAGGTGGCGCCTGGGACCTGAGGCTCCCTCCCTCTTCTGTTGTGTCTTTCCTTGGTGGCCAGTTCTGTGCATTCCTGCTTTGGTTCCTGTTGCACAGACTTTGTTTTTGTTGGCTTGTTGTTGTTGTTGTTGGCTTTTTAAAAATGTTGAAGTGTCTTAGCTTCTTAGGGGAATTGAGGCATGGGGGTGCTCTCTGCACCTGGAAGTCCTTGGATATTTCCAAGTGATTTTGTTTCTTAAAATGCAGAGCTAGTGTTGTCCCTCTCTCCACCTGCTGAGCCCTGCCTTGAGGACCCTGCATTGCCCTTGTCCTCACCTCTGCACCCTGCTTCTGGGCATCTCTGCCCTGCGGCCCTGGCCCTGGCTCTTCCCTTGGCTCTTGCCTCAAGGAGCAGCTTGGCCAGGGCCCTCTGGTCCTGCAGGTCTTTGCTTCCATTGCTTCCTGTGAAGACTCCCCGGCCTGCCCTGGTCCCTCCCCGCTTGCCACCTGCCTCCTGTCTTTCCTCCCTCCACTGGTCCCCCTGATCCCCTGCTGGCAGATCCTGCCGGGAGTCTCCTCCTCCAGCAGGTCTGTGCCTGGAGGTGGCTGAGGTGGCCATGTCCCGCGCAGTGCCAGGCACAGGGAGGGAAGGAGCCTTGCTTTTCCCTTGACGTGGAAAACTCTTGGCGAACATTATTTTAAACATTTCCTATCCTACAGTATAGATATGCCCAATTTCCTTGGCCATTTCTCCGACATTTAGGTTTCTCTTTCTTCCACAGTCATTGTTTTTTTTTTTTAAACCCGAAATAGGTGCCTGGGTGGCTCAGTCATTAAGCGTCTGCCTTCGGTTCAGGTCATGATCCCAGGGTCCTGGGATCGAGCCCCGCATCGGGCTCCCTGCTCTGTGGGAGGCCTGCTTCTCCCTCTCCCACTCCCCCTGCTTGTGTTCCCTCTCTTGCTGTGTCTCTGTCAAATAAATAAAATCTTAAAAAAAAAATAAAAACCTGAAATAAATCTTTTAAGGCTTTTTTATAATACTGTCAGATTTCCTACCAGAAAGTTGTGTTTGATTGGGCTTTAGTTAGTTGCTTTAGTGTTTGTTTTTTTAAGAAAGAGAGAGAGAGAGAGAGAGAGAGAGAGAGAAATGCTCTCCCGGGCCCACTGCACCATCTAAAGGCAGTGGCACAGAGGCATCCCTGCCCATCTGGACCATCGAGAGGCAAGTGCGGCGCCAGGGTCTCCCCTGCGACACAGCCCCCGGGGCCTGCGATAGCCCTGGCTGTCAGGTGCCAGGTTCATGGCAGCACTGGCTCTCCCCCACTGCGTGGGAATAAGCCCCTTCCCCGAGGGCCCCCAGCAGGCTGCTTCCTTGAGGACGGAGTCCTGGCAGCGAGGGGTGTTCCTGAGGAAGCTGAGGGGGCTGGCGATCTGCTCTCAGATAATTACAAGTTTCTTGCAGCATTTTGGGATTTCTTTCTGTAAACTGAATTCTTTATGCTTAAGGATTTAAATACTTTTCACCTAAGTTACAAACCAAATAGCTAGTTGAAAGCAACTTATAATATCTTTAAGGCTTCCTCTTAGGTTTTATACTATTTCTTTAAACACAGCCGGTCTTTGCCTTCTGAATACAGTGACTTTTCCTCAAAATTTGGATAGCTTATGTATTCCTGAAATTTAAGAGTAGATAGGGGAGAATTTAGAATATAGGGTCTGGGTTGTTTTTGTGACAAGATAAGAGTTTGAACCACTCGTGTGTACTTCTCTTGCTCAGCGTGAGCATCTAGAGCAGGCAGAGACAGTGGTAAGATTATTTATGTGCCACTTCCCTTCAGTGCTGTGTAGTAGCATGTTTTTGAAAATCATAAGCATTTCACGGATACCGGTCCTCACAGTTTTCAAGATGATTTGGAAATTTGACCTTTGTTTTAGCCGTTTTCAAAACATATTAAATTCAGAGGAGTTTTGTTGGTAGTATTTTTTATGTATTACTGCCAGTCTTCCAACTGTCTAGCAATTTACCACTCCTGTTGCATTTCTGTTTCTGTTTGAGAATAGAGTACTTAGTAGTAGTTTATTTTGTGTTTAGTAACCAGAATTCTCTCCTTTCACAGATGCAAGTAGTAACAGAGTTAAAAACGGAGCAAGATCCCAACTGCTCTGAACCTGATGTGGAAGGAGTGAGCCCCCCACCCGTGGGGTCCCAGACACCAATGGATGCGGACAAGCAGGCCATTTATAGGTAGCGATGAGATGTGACACATGTGGGTTTTAACAGGAATGGCAGGAATAGAGAACCTTGTTAAATGGAATGCCAGACCTATTAGCTAGGCAGAGTAGTAAGGTTTGATGGGATAACCACAGGGGTGAGAAGTTTGTCAAATTAAGATATTATTCCTCATACCTTAAGAAAAAGTTTTGGAATATAAATGGACATTTTAGTCAACCTTGCAAAAAGAAATCTTCAGGCCCAGGTAGTTTTACTGGAGAATCCAGTAAAGGAAGAGGGAATGCCTCCCAACACATCACTCTGATACTAAAGCCAGACAAAGACAATACAAAAAAAAAAGGTGTGCACCAGTGTGCCTCATGAACTTAAACATAAAAATCATTAATAAAATATTAAATCCAGTGACATATAAAAAGAACACACACTGACCAAGTGGAGTTTATCCCAAGAACTCAAACTAATTCGTTAGTCAAAAGATCAACCAGTGAGACGCACAACATGATCATACCAAGTGACACAGGAAAGCATTTGACAAAAATCAACAGGTAATTATGATTAAAAACTGTCAGCAAAGTGGTAATGGAGGGAAACTTTCCTAACCTGATGAAGGGCAACATTAAAAAATCTGTAGTTCTCATCGTATTTAATGGCCAAAGACCGTTTTCCTCTAAGACTGGGCATAAGGCAGAGTACACCCTGACTCCTTTTGTTCAGCACTGTAATGGAAGTCCTAGCCAGTGCAGTTAAGGCAAGAAAAAGAAAGAAAAGGCATACCAGATTAGAAAGGAAGAAACACAACTGGCTCTGTGTACAAACGACATGATTGTCTATATAGAAAATCCCAAAGACTCAACCAAAAAACTTCCAGAACTGGGTGAGTTTAAGAAGGTCACACATTACAAGGGCAACACACAGAAACCAATCCCATTTCTATTTGAGTAATACACAGTTGGAAGCTGAAAATTAAAAAAGACAATACCATTTACAAGAGCTCCAAAAAATTTAGGTATAAATCTAACAAAATGCAGAAACTTTATGCTGAAAAATTATAAAATGCTGATGCAAGCAATCAAAGAAAACCTAAATAAATGGGGACACATACCATGCTCATGGATTGGAAGACTCAACTTTGTAAAGATGTCCTTTCTCCTAAAATCGACTTGTAGATTTAGTATAATTCCAAATAAAGCCTTAGGACAGTTTTGTACATATAGACACGTTAATTCTAGATTTTATATGGAAGGCAAAATAACTAGACCAGCTGAAACAGTGTTGAAAAAGAATAAAGTTGGACTTTTGAGACATACTATGGCATTACGGTAATGAGAATGTGGTGAGGATGGTGAAGGGATAGGATTAGAATCACTTTTGTCCTGTACAAATACCTTATTTATTTGATCTTTGACAAAGGTGCAAACAATTCAGTGGAGTAGAGGTAGTCTTTCCAAAAAATGGTGTTGGAAGAATCAGACATTCATATGCTGAAAGAAGATCCTTGACCTAATCTCATGTTTTACACAGGAGTTTACTCAAGGGGCACCTGAATGGCTCCGTCAGTTAAGCATCTGCCATCGGCTCTGGTCATGATCCTGGGGTCCTGGGATCGAGCCCCATGTCGGGCTCCCTGCTCAGTGGAGAGCCTGCTTTTCCCTCCCTCTTGTGCGCGCTCTCTCTCTCAAATAAATAAATAAAATCTTAAAAAAAATAGTTTACTCAAAACAAAGTATAGATCTAAATGTAAATTTTAAAACTATAAAACTGGTCTCTCCATACCACGGAATATTACTTAGCCACAAAAAGGAATGAAGTAGTGATACGTGTTACAACATTGATGAGCCTGGAAAACACCGTGCTAAGTGAAAGAAGCTAGATGCCAAAGGCCATGTATTGTATAATTCTGTTTAGATGTCTAGAACCCTAGCAAATCTATGGAGACAGGAAGTCGGTAGTGGTGGCCTGGGGCTGGGGTTTGGGAGAAGATGGGCAGTGACAGCTGATGGCTGCAGGGTTTCTTTGGGGGATGACAAAGACGCTGTAAGAGTGACCTTGGGGATGGTGGCACCGCTCTGTGAACAGAGTAGAACCATTGCATTGTACACTTTGAAGGGGATAAACTGTAGTATGTGAACGATACCTCAACAAAGCTGTTATATAAACGAATGCAGACGTACGTACTAAAATATTCTCATGCAAATGTAGGACATACATTTAAAAATTTTTTTTCCCCCCAGGCATCCACTGTTTCCATTATTAGCTTTGTTGTTTGAAAAATGTGAACAATCTACGCAGGGCTCAGAAGGCACAACTTCTGCCAGTTTTGATGTAGATATTGAAAATTTTGTAAGGAAGCAAGAGAAGGAAGGAAAACCCTTCTTTTGTGAAGATCCGGAAACTGACAATTTAGTAAGTACAAGAAATGTTTTGTTTTTTTCCCCAAAATTAAAATCTGTTCAATAAGTTTTAAACTTCTAATTAGAACTTCAGAATGTAGTTCTGCTAAAGGGGAGAATCCGATAGTTTACGAAATAACTTCCTGTATGTGTGACCTGAATGTCCCCGTGTCTTCCAGCTTTCTGTAGTGACTTTTACTGTAGGGATCAAAGGAGCTCATCTGTGCCTGTGTCACAAGGGGACTGGGGGCTCAGTTCTCTCCTAAGTATCTGTGAAGTTCACTGGGGTTGGTGTGCTTATGTGCTGTGCCTGTCAGGCAGCATGCCTGTGCCCCAGTCCAGTTCTAGGCTTTTCCTTGATCACAGACACACACCCTTATGCTCTGTCTGGAGGCTGGCAGTAAGTGGTGGTGGGTGACAAGGCTGTATGCAGACTTGAGGAGGCCCTTGAACACAGAGCAGGGCAGTCTTAACAGGGGGCTCCCACACTCTTCAACTGCTTCCCCTGGCCTTTCAACCTCGTGTGGGTGCCCTCCTCCCAGGTCCGGCACCCCAAGGTCCAGGGTTCTCTGTGCTTGCTGAAGGAAATGCAGAATTTGTTAACATCACTGCTGCACCCCTCAGTGTTGGTGGAGCACTGTTAGCTCATGTCAGGGGACACGCTCCTTCCCTGGGCTTCCTTTAGAGCCTGCTAACCCCCAGCCCAAAATCTTAGTCAGGGCCCTGATCAGCAGAAAAGTGTCTCAGGAAACTTTTTCCTGAATAAATGTCCCGGATCTTTGTTGGTTTTTAATTTCTCATTATACATTCAACCCTTAGTGCCTAACGGATTTTACCAGGGCGCTGTCTGACCGGGAGTCAGCCTCCTCATCTTTGAACTGGGACCAACAGTGCCCGCCCTTTTGGGGTGAGAATCAGAAGCTCTCTCTACCTCTGAATCTCTGTCACACAGCCAGCAGTGCATGGCTGCGGGGACAGCCAGAGGGGACCCAGGTTCTCCTGACTGGTGTTCCAGCATAGGGTCTAGCAGAGCTTGGGGCGTGGTCACTCTTTATCGACTGCTTGGCTGGTTCATGCCACAAGTACATATGAATTACTGTCCCCAAGGTCACAGGGAAGGAGCTGAGCTTTGGGGTTGTGGATTCACAGGCAAGTGGTGCTTATTACAGATCATTGTCTACTGCTGTGGGGCAAGTTACTCTGAAATTTAGTGACTTAATAAAGTCACTGTAAAACTTTTAGAAAAATCTTTTTTTTTTTTTTTTTTTTTTGTACTTTTAGAAAAATCTTAAAAGGGCTAACCTAGTGCTAGGGAAAGAGTTCTTAGGCTTGACACCAAAAGCACAATCCCTAAAAGGCAGAGTTGATAAGTGGAGTTTTATCAAAATGAAGAGCCTCCTATGAGGGGGGTATGGATTCCTCCCCATTTACAGAGGAAGACATAAGAGCAGAGGGAGGGTAAGTACCTTGCTCTTTGTTGGAGCTGGTCCGCGGTGGGGCCGGGGTGAGGCTGGGCTGTCTCCTGGTGCTGTGACTCACTGAGGGCGGCACGGGGACATCTGTGCCCCACACACCAGATGCAGCGAAATGCCAGAGGTCTGCAGTGCTGGAATGACTTGTCGTTTTGCATGATTTCTGATGTCATCCCCCTCCTGTCATTGGCAGTGCAGTTGGTCAAGGCTCTATGGCGCTCAGGCGAATGAGAATTACAACTTACCGTGATGCTGCCGTTTTCTTGTCTGAAGATCTTCATTTTCTCTGCTTCTAGATGGTAAAAGCAATCCAGGTTTTGCGTATTCATCTTCTTGAGCTGGAAAAGGTTAACGAACTGTGCAAAGATTTCTGCAGTCGATACATTGCTTGTCTAAAAACGAAAATGAACAGTGAGACTCTCCTGAGCGGAGAACCTGGAAGCCCGTATTCCCCCGTCCAGTCCCAGGTATCTGTGTCGGGTCCTGCTCTGCTCCTTGGTGATGGTAAGGTCTGCAGGGGTGACGGGTACTGACTCCTGAGACCAACAGCCCTGTCGGAGTGCCTGGGCTGACGTAACGGCCATCCTCCAGCCAGAAGGACAGTCCCTCTGGGCTTCACGCAGTAAGTGGGGTGAGGCCTCAATCTGCATGTGCGGACCCTGGATCCCAGCTTTCTGGAGGATGGAGTACCATTCATTGCTTTCCTTTTTCTTTAAAACAGGGTTTTTATTATTTCTTAGAATTGTGGTAAAATACACATATCATAAAATGTACTGTCTTAACCATTCTTAAGTGTACAATTCAGTGGCATTAAGCATGTTCACACTGTTGTGCTACCATCATCACCATCTATCTCTGGAACTTTCCATCTTCTCAGACTGAAACACTATCCCCATGAAGTACTAGCTCCCCATTCTCCCCTCCCCAGCCTCTGGCTCCACCATTCTACTTTCTATGAATTTGATCAGTCTAGGTACCTCACGTGAGGGGGTCATACCGTATTTGTCCTTTTGTGCTTGGCTTACTTTGTGGACATAATGTCCTTGAGGCTCACCCATGTTGAAGCACTACTGTACTTGAGCCACACTGATGGTGATGTTCCATTGTGGTCACAGTTCACACTACCCTGATGGCTGATGGTGTTGACCATCTTTTCATGAGCTTGTTTGCCGTCTGTAGATCCTCTTTGGTAGAAGGTCTGCTCACGTCCTTTGCCCATTTTCTGATTGGATTTTTTTTTGAACTGTTGACTTTTGAGAGTCTTTTTTTTTTTTTTAAGATTTTATTTATTTATTTGACAGAGTGAGAGAGCACAAGCAGGGGGACAGTAGAGGGAGAAGCAGTCTCCCTGCCAAGTGGGGAGCCCGATGGAGGGCTCGATCCCAGGACCCTGGGATCATGACCGGAGCTGAAGGCAGATGCTCAATGACAGCCACCCAGGCGCCCCTAGATACTAATCTTTTATGGGCTGTATGGTTTGTAAATATTTTCTCCCAAGTCTGTAGCTTATCTCTTCATCCTCTTAACAGGGTCTTTTGCATAGCAAACATTTTAAATTTTGATCAAGTCCCATTTATCAACTTTTCTTTGATGAGTTGTGCTTTTGGTGTTAAATCTAAGAACTCTGCCCAGCCCTGGATCCCAAGGATTTTCTCTAGTTTTTTGTTTTGTTTTGTTTTCCTGAAAGTTTTATATTTCACATTTAAATCCATGGCTCATTTTGAGTTAACTTTTGTATAAAGTGTGAGGGTTTAGGTTGAGGTTCTTTGTTTTGCCTCTGGACGTCCTGTGCTCCAGCACCATTTGTTCAAATTCCTCCCCTGAATTGTCAACGGTGAGTGTATTTGTTGGTCTGTTTCTGTGTTCTCCGTTCTGTTCCCCCGATCTCTGCCTTTACACCAGCTAATCTTGTTACTGTAGCTATTGAATAAGTCTCAAATTTGGGTAGACTGTTTCCTCCCACTTTATTCTTCTTTTTCAAAGTTATTTTAGTTATTCTAGTTCCTTTCCATATAAGTTTTGGAATAATCTTGTCTATATCAACAAAAAAATGTTACTGAGATTTTGATAGGAATTGCATTAAGCCTGTGTATTGTTCTGAGGAGAATTGATGTCTTTCCTCTGTTGACTATTCCAGTCCACAGACCAGGTATGTCTCTCTGTCATTCCTTTCATTGGTGTTTTGTAGTTTTGTGATACAAGTCCTACATATGTGTTTTTAAAATTACACCTAGGTGTGTGTGTGTGTGGGGTTTTTTTTTTTTTTTTTGGCAATTACAAATGGTATTATATTTTTAACTTTAGTGTCCCTGCTAGTATTTAGAGATACAGTTGATTTTGTATGTTTATCTTTCATCTTGCAACCTTGCTGAACTCATTTATTAGTTCTAGGAGGTCCTTTTCACAGATTCCTCAGGATGTTCTCCTTATTCAGTTATGTCATCTACAGATAGGAACAGTTCTGTTCCTTCCTTCCTGATCTGTTTGCTTTTTATTTCCTTGTCTTACCTTATTGTGTTGGCTAGAACATCTGGTACTATCTTGAATACAATTGGTGAGAGTGGACATCCTGCCTTGTTCCCAATCTTAGGGGAAAACATTCTGCCTTTCACTGTTAGTTATAGTTTTAGTGGCAGGTTTTTTCTAGATGCTCTTCATCAAGTTGAGGAAGTTCCCCTCCATTTCTGTTTCTCTAAGAGTTTCTATCATACTGAATTTGTCACATGCTTTCCCTGGGTGAATTGATACGATTATGTGATTTTTCTTCTTTCTTCTGTTAACATGGTAGTAGATTACATTACTTGATTTTTCGAATACTGAATAAGCCTTGCATTCCTGGAATAAACTCCACATGGTCATGGCACAGAATTCTTTTTATATGGGTTCCTGAATTCTGTTTGCTAATATGTTGTTAAGCGTTTGTATGTCTGTATTGGGGGATATTGGTCTGTAGTTTCTTTTTTGTTACAGTCTTTGTCTAGGTTTGGTACCAGGATAGTACAGCTTTGTAAAATGAAGACTCCTTTCCTGTTTTCTGGAAGTGATTATATAGATTTGGTGTTAATTCTTTACATGTTTGATAGAATTCTCCAGCGACACTAGCTGGAGCTGGAGATTTCTTTTTTGAGTGTCCAAGGTATGAATTCGGTGTCCTTCATGGTTGTAGGGCTGTTCAGATGACCTGTTTCACGCTAGCTTCAGAGGCCCGCGTGCCGAGCGGACTGTGGCACTCCTCCTCTCCTGCTGACGTGTGTAGGGTCTGCAGTGCCCTCGGTTTCCTTCCTGATGTTGGTAATTTGTCACGTCTCTGTTGTAGAGGTTTGTCAGTGTACTGATCTTTGCAAGGAACCAGCTCTTTTTTCATTGATCTCTGTTTTTCTATTTTCAGTTTCATTGATTTCTGCTTTGATCTTTATTATTTCCTCCCTTCTGCTTGCTTTGGTTTCCTTTTGTTCCTCTTTTTTAGGTTCTTGATGGTGGGAGCTTGGATTATTGATTTGGATGAATTAATATTCTAACCAAGTTAATGTGGCAGACTTTGTATGTACCTACCAGAGCTTTATACATACATTCAGATTGATGTGGCAGCCTGCAGAGTAATCGTCTTTGGGCAGTACCCACTGATGCTGTTGAACTGCTCAAATGCCTGGGTGTCTGCTGGGCGCCAGACCCTGTGCCTGGGTGCCAGCATGGAGCTCTCTCCCTGGCCGGCCACCAACCCAGCCATCTTGGTGAATGGACGGGTGGAATCTTGATGTGGTGTTTATGGTTATTTCTGCGGAACCTGCTGCAGGCCAGGCCCAGATCTAGCACTCCACAATCATGAAAACCAGGGGGCTCGCCTCTTTTATGATGATTAATGTGATGACAAGAGGAAAGATAATCTTTTGGAAGCCAGATTGAAACCAGTATCTCAATACTGATGATCATAGTTGATACTGGGTCAGTCTTGGATCTCTTGGTTTGCAGATATGTAAGGTGGGTTTTCTGGTGTTTTCCCATAGCCCCTCACTTTGTATTTCTGACTTACAGCAGATTCCAAGTGCCATCTCAGGCACTCTCAGCCCCCAAGGAATCGTGGTTCCAGCATCTGCGCTGCAACAGGGGAACGTAACCATGGCGACAGTGGCAGGTAAGCCCAATGAAAAAAGGATGCTCTTTCCTTGAGCTTTTGTGGAGAAGTCCTTTATATTAGAACAGAGAAGTGCATAAATATAATTTCTAATTAATGCCAGTTCCTGAAATAGGAGTGGCAAAATCTAGAGCATTTAGAATTGAATGCCTGTTTCTTGTTTTAATTCCCAGTAACAAATAGTTGACGCAAATTGTGTTTCCCTGCCAAAAAATTTTGGGAAGAAAGGTTTTATATAGGAGTTGACAATATATAGCAAAAACCAATTGTAATTTGTAGATAACATAGTTGTTAATTGCACTCTTGGCAGCACCTGGAAAAGCTTCGGTTGTGTCATTAATGTTTGACAGACAAATAAAAATTCATTCTTAGTATTACTTGTATAGTAAAAACCATCACGGGAGGGGTACTGATTCTGTGGTTCCCTGGTGCATCTCAAACATCGCAAATATAAAGTTGTCATGAAAATGGAATGGGGCATGTGAGGAGGAGAGAAATTTACAACGAAAACCCTCCTGTGATAGTGTCAGGGGAAACCTCCCCAGGAAGATGAAAGCATGTTTGATCAATATATACTATGATAAAAAATAGTTCACACCAATTGCCAGGTCTTTTAATACTGCTAATTGTGGGGAAAGTAGGAAACAGAGGTGGACAAAAAGGGAATTTGCAGAATCCAAATAAGCCCTTGTGCCCTGTGCGGTGGGACACCTTACCACCCGCTTTGCACTGTGCCCCCTGACCGTGCCCGCCCCCCTGACACACTGCCCTGTCCCCCCCACTGCCTGTCCCCTCACTCTCACACTGCCCTGCTCTGTTGAACTGTGCCCACCCCCTGCACGCTGCCGTACCTCCTGCACAGTGGCCCGCACACCCCTTACAGTACCATGCCCTCCCCTGCGCGCCTCCCCCCGCACAGAGCCGGACCTCACTATAGATGCTGGAACACTACTTGTCCAGGGAAGTTGTTTAATAATTTATAGTGACAAGTCAGCCAGCAAAGTACTGATCATTTGAAACAATTTAAAAACCACATCAAACTAAAGGTTTTATTCCTTTCATACGTATATTGAGTATATTGAGAATATGGTTTTAAATCGTTGTGACTTAAAGAGTATTTTAATTTTTTCCTTCTTGAGGTGGCACAGTGTATCAGCCTGTCACAGTTGTCACTCCTCAAGGCCAAGTAGTGACACAAGCATTGTCGCCCGGCACCATCAGGATCCAGAACTCCCAGGTGCGTGTGCCATTCCCGTGGGAGGGTCTGGGGGTGCGTCACGCAGGCGTGGGGCACGGTAGGCCCAGGCTGGATCTGTTCCCTCTGCCTGAAGATCATTTGTCTCGAGCTGGCTTCCCGGTAGCAGTCTCCAGTTAATCTCAGTGTCCATGTTTTGTCTCCTGTTTACTCTTTGTCTCCCTCGGTGTAAAAAAGTTGCAAAGTTCAGAAAGTCTAAGGCAGCAGGAAAAAAGTCATCCATGACCCCTTCCCCTCAGCAACCACTGTCGTCCAATTGAACACTGGATTGTGTGGTTGTCTCTGGATCAGGAGACTCGAGGCAGTGTGGACACGCTCTTCCCGCCGCCATGCAGGTTGACAGCAGACCCAGCAGGCAGGTCTTGCAGCCCATGGCAAGGCCCTTCTGTGCCCCCGCTGGGCCAGAGCGCCACTCCGGGCTGGTCCTCAGGCTGACTGGGGCCCTTCCTTAACATCCTCCCACAGCCTGGTGCGAAAGCTGAGCAAGAGCTGCCCCTTCCCCACTCCCAGTTGCCCAGGGGAGGCCCTGCCCCAAGGAGGCTGGTGTATTCCTCCTGCCCTCCCTTGGCCTCTCGCTTCCCCCAGGCACCCCAGCTCCGAGAGTGCAGGAGGCCGCTTCACGGGCAGAAGCAGCACATGGATGTGCTGTTCTGTGCTGTGCTGAGGTCACACTGCTCTCTCTGTGTCTATGTGGTGAGACGGGGTCGACTTGGTGGTCGGCCAGGCCACTGTCGATCACGGAGAAGCACGCACGCACACACATGCACACACACCCTTGTTTTCCACTGCCAGGCCACTGTCAATTACGGAGACGCATGCACACACACACTCACCCTTGTTTTCCACATTGAGCTAGGTTTAAGTCCGAAAGATAATGTTTCTGTTGTCAGCTCGTAGTTAGGAATACAGATTCTTTATGTTAGTTGTCTTTAGCCCGCACAGGTGTTTCCCACAACCTCACGGACGGCTTGGAGGCCGAGCCCCGGAGATGTTGTGTCTCCCTCAAGCAAACAGCAGAGGCGAGAGGGTGTGTGGGGGGGCACGGGCTGGCACCGCCAGTCCAGGACTTACTGCCTCTCACTGCATGGACAGAGTCGAGCTAGGGCAGGGGGCCTTGTCATCTGGGCACATGGGGTCTCACCAGGCCCAGCAATGGGTGGAGGAGGGACTGGACTCCACCAGCATTGTCCCTAGATTCTCCAGCCAGCCTGCTTTTCCTGGAGCTTCCTATTTACCACGGATGTGAGCATGAGGTGGTGTCTGGTTGGCAGAGCTCTTCCTGGTACCACATGGAACTGCTTTTAGAGTGAGGTGTCTTCCTTATGTAGTAGAGGTTTATTTGCCCTGTTGCTTAAGAAGAAAGTTTTCCGGGGTGCCTGGTGGCTCAGTCAGTTAAGTGTCTGACTCTTGATTTCGGCTCAGGTCACTCACGGTCTCAGGGTCGTGAGATTGAGCCCTGCATTGGGCTCTGTGCTCAGCTGGGAGTCTGCTTGGGATTCTCTCTCCTTCTCCCTCTGCCCGTCCCTGCTGCATGCTCACTCTCTCTCCCCACCCCTTTGCTCTCAAATAAATAAATCAATCTTTAAGGGAAAAAAGAAAGTTTTCTACTTCACTGCATTTTCTTATAGACGGAAAGGACTAGTTTAACTAGCAAACACATAGAGTTTGTATTTCAGCATAACCCCTTCTGACACAGAACATGCCTGTGACCCTCCCCAGCCTTGTCAGGCAGACAGGTGAACACAGCTCCCTCCTTGCAGCCTGTGGGCTGTCTCTGCTCTGGTGCTCAGTCCACTGTGCGCCTGTCCCCTCCCCGTCATTCTCCTGCCGAGTCCGGCTTCTAGGGCAGCAGGGACAGGAAGCCAAAGACACGAGCTGCCCCGGGTTTCCAACAGAAGAGTAAACAGATTGAGGGCTCTGGGTGCAGGTGTTCTTTGAATAAAACCTGTACGTGGTACGTGTGATTTTAATTGTAACTGTTTGGGCTGCTCTGGGCTCTTTTCTTCCCTTTTTCTTTGGGGGGGGGGATTGGTTCTTACTGGGCTTCAGGTAATTGGGAAGAGTAACTTCACCAGTGACATTGTCTATTTTTGTGTCAGAAACTGTCAGGGTTGGTTTGATCGAGAAAACTGCTTGCTGTTCTGGCTCCTGTGGTCACTCTGGCCAGTGTCATTCATGGCAGCACTGTGGTGGCGGTCACTCCCATGCCGTCCCCCACCTCCCCGTCCTGCCCCGTCGTCTGGCTGCGTTGTGGGTGCAGCTGAGGCGGATGGTAACATTGCCACTCTCCCCCAGAAGAGAATTGGCCACCGTGGGCCACATTCCGACCTACGGCCCGTCAGGAGGAGGCAGGATTTGGCCTCTTCCTAGGGCATCTCTATGGAAAGGTGTTTTTACTTCTAAAAACATATTTTTGAGGAGAGAGAAGTAGCCAGGGGGATTTCACGGATTTCCTCCCGCTCTAGCTCCTCCCCCTTTCCCGGGAGAGTCTTATTTGTACAGTTGTTATTTATATATTTTAGGTTTTTGCTGTTACTTGGCCTGTGACAAGGTTTTTTGCCTCCGTTTTACTCTTATTTTGCTTTTTTATATCAGGTGGTTGTGTGTCCAGCTCAGTGTGCAGGATGCTGAGAGGCTTGGAGCCAAGCACCGCTTTTCCCACCCTGTTCCCTCCTCTCCCCTCGGGCAGCTGCTTTTTGATCCTGCTGATTTCCTACCGTTTCTCACTAAAAATCCTCCCTCTTAACTCACCCCTGAAGCTCCTGGTTTGGGCTCTCTGTCATGGTTGGGGCCTGTGCTCCGTCCGTGCACCCCCTCGGCGGTGGCTCTTCCCCGCCCTGCCCGTGCTTCTCCACACAGCTCGGCCAACCTGTTGTCAGTATGAACATCACCTGGTCTCTGCGGAGCTGAGTGTGTACCTGTGATCCCAGGGCTTCTCTGGTTCAGATGTGTCTGGCCGAGCTCGCAAGTGCTTCACTGTTGCCCCGGGCTCGGCTGTCCCGGTGCCACGGCTAACACCTACCTGCCAGAAGGCACATCGGGACCGCGGGCCCCCAGAAGCTCTCCACCTCCCTTCTCCGGGGCTCTTCTCTATCCAGGCTGGGCACAGGGTATGTTCTCAAACTTTCTTTTGACATCGCCTTGAGGAGTCCCTTCTCCTAGAGCCTACATCCTCTACTTTCTTGGCTTTACTCCCCACTTTGGAAACTTCCAGAGAAAATGTGCATGGGAAGTACATTCTGTTGAGACATTGCAAACCTGAAGATGACTTTATTTTGGTCTCGTACTTGATGCAGGCTGTTTCCCAGGACAGTTTCTGGAAGAAATCGTCAACAGGGCCCGGGAGCATGGCGTCGGGGGCTCTAGCCACCTTGGGAAGAGGTCAGCGCTCGCTGCTTTCCGGGCTGCTGTTTTCTTCTCTCAGCCACGTCTCTTCTCCGAGCTGTTGCTGAGCCCTGGGAAAACCTCATGTCCTGGAATCTGAGACCTCTCCTTGACGTCTCTGAGATAGCCCTACCCCCACCCCAAGCACATTAGACCTTCTGAACTGAATCTCTGCATTTTTGTGTCATTTTTTATTTGTATTCTCATTATCTGGTTTCTGAGAGATCTTTTATCTTCCAACCCATCCATGCAGGTTGACCTCTTCAGCACAGTTTGGATTTCTTTTTTTTTTTTTAAGATTTTATTTATTTATTTGACAGAGAGAGACACAGCGAGAGAGGAAACACGAGCAAGGGGAGTGGGAGAGGGAGAAGCAGGCTTCCCGCAGAGCAGGGAGCCCGATGTGGGGCTCGATCCCAGGACCCTGGCATCATGACCTGAGCCGAAGGCAGACGCTTAACCGACTGAGCCACCCAGGCGCTCCTCAGTTTGGATTTCTTAGACTCTTCCATTCCCTCTGTGCTTTCTCTTGAGGTAGCTCCTGTTTGTGCTTCATGGGTGGTTGAAGCCTTCTCTCTGTTCCCTCTGCATCTCAGCTCTGGTGTCTGCTGTTTGTGATGGAGGCCTTTGGATGTTTGGGGACAGTTGGCTGTCCTCGGACCTGTCAGCATGAGCTGCCGGAAAGCCATTGGGTGCGTGGCAGGTACGGGCCACGGCAAGCCAGCTTCTCCATGGGCTGGCCTCTGGAGTGTTTCCTCTATTCAGTGTCTCCAGAGAAGGACTCTCAGACTTCTTGCCTGGGGCATAGGCCTGGTTGCAAGGGCGGAAGTGGGCTGGGGTCTCCCATTTTGCGTGTAGACTTTCCTTACCCCACTTTTTGGCCTTGCCCCTCACTCCCACTGTCCAGCTTGCTCAGTGTGCCCCAGTCTCCTGCAGGGCAGGGGGCAGATCAGTCATCTGCAGAGAATGATGGGGAGGGTGTGTGTGGGGGTCTCACTGCTTCTTAAACAGACTTCCAGCCAGTTTCCCAGGCTTTTACCCGCCCGCCGCTTGTCCAGGCCCCGGCGGTGCTGGAGCTCAGCAGGGCAGTGGCTGTTCCGTGCAGAGGCCATGGCTTTCCTCATGCAGCCCTGTTGGCCCTCGGGCCCCTTGGTAGCATCTGTGAGGTCGAGTCACACAGCTAACTGTCACTTCGCCCACTTTTTGAGCCCACATTTGCTTTAACCCTGCACGAGAAAAGCAACACTGGGCATATGTCAAATTTCATGAAGAACATCATATATATATTAATTGAGACAAATAAGGCAGATGAGCTAAATTTTGGCCCTGGTGCTTTGGAGCTAGTATTGAAAGTTCATTGCCTGTTCTTTTTTCTGTACACACAAACATGACCATAGAGGGGGTGCTTAATACCATTTGCTTTCAGTCCTTTAACAAAGACATACATTTCAAAAAACACTTATGCCCTTAATAATAATCTTGGCTTTTAAGAAATGTTAGCTACAGCTAGTGTCTTACTGTTCCCTGTAAGTCATAAGTTGTGTCTGTTTCGATGTTGTTGAGGCTTTTAGAGAACATATCTGAAATGATGTCACGCCAGAGGAAGTACAGATAATACAGTGACCTCTCCACAGTCACGTCCCAAATCCTTAAAAGGGTGTCTGTGGATACATTACACTGAAGGTGATGTTCTTGCCTTTATAAAGTCAGATTCCTACGTAAGTTCTGAATTCACGCATGCACAACAGCCGAGGTGCCCCTGGCGGGTCTGTGCTGAGGCCCTGGGAGCTGTGGTGGTTTTCTTCCTGGCCCGTGTCCTCAGCGCTGGTGACACCATCTGCCCAGGGAAGCTGGGTGTGAGGTGCAGCGCCTGGGGCCTGTGGGGCTGAGGCCTGCTCTTAGAGACATCAAATCTTTCTCACGTTTGTGGGAAAGACAGTCCCCTAAGAAGTGTTATGAGTGTCCTTTCCTGTGGAAAGGGAATGGGCAGAATGTGTCCATGCTGTCCTCAAGGGGCAAGGGAGGCCGTGTCTGTGGTGGCTCCGGAGGCTTCTGGGCCAGAGGCGGGTGCCTTGGCCCCTTTGCCCTGTGAGCCCCATGTCTGCACTGTGTGCGCGTCTGTGTTTTTCCCCTCTGTTCAGCCCACGTGGCCGCCTCTCGTCAGCGGCCCTTCTGCCTTCCTGCCCGTTCTTGCTGATTGCTTGGAATCTCTAGGCTAGGAGAGCGGGTGTTGTCACGTCCATGACTAGAGGGTGCGAGGTGAACACGAGTGGTGGGCGAGAAGGCCGTGGGCCTCACATGTCTGCAGGGCAGTGGCCCCAAGGCCCTCTGGGCTCCTGTCTCACCTGCCGGACGAGGGGGCCACTGCCTGCGAGACAGCGGTGTCAATAGTGAGAATGCAGAGGGAGCGCCCCGACGGGTGAGCCCATGGGGCCCAGCACACACATCTCTGCTGCCATATGTCATTTCTCCATAAGACCTTTGGTTATCTTCATCTGAAGTCGTAAACTACTTGCCTATGTCATAATTTCCTGTGCCTTCTAATGTTATTTTTCAATTGTTTAAAAGCTTCAGTTACAGTTAAACCAAGATCTAAGCATCTTGCATCAAGATGATGGCTCATCTAAGAATAAAAGGGGCGTTCTGCCGAAGCACGCTACCAATGTGATGAGATCTTGGCTCTTTCAGCACATAGGGGTAAGAACGCAAGTGATTCCACAGTCAACAGTGCCCTGAGATGCTTGCTTGCTGGCTTCCTTTCCTGGAAAAAATGTACTGTCTGCTCCGGGGGCCTGGTGTTGAGTGTCGGTGCCATGTTGACTGTCTCAATGTTAGGGTGGAATGTGGGACAGAGGAGGGTGACCACACTCTGGAGGTCCCTGCCTCAGGGACTTAACCAGGAGGGCCCCGCTGCTGACAAGAGAGTACCTTCCGCTCATGCTAATCATCCACGTGCCACGGAGGGTGACCCAGTGAGGTGAGGTTCGAGAAGTGGGCAGAGAGAAGAGGAATTCGGGCAAAACCTGGGGAGATAGTGACGTTTTAGATAGTAGATTTGAGAGGAAGATGTGGTAAGGTCGAATATCGAGCTGTGGACAGAGGGGTCAGCACATGAGCTTGTTGACCTTGAGCCGGCGTTTGGCCCGCAGACAGCACCGGCCCACGCACATAGTGTCTGCACACCTGTTCACGCACCTGGGTCATGGCCACACCCTCCCTGTGAAGATGCCCGTCTTAGGGAGCACACACTTGCTCGTCCATTTACTGCGCAAGACTTGCTTATTACCCAGCTGAGACCCTCAGTCCTCCTGCCGCTGAACTTGGGGGAGGCACGTGACCCAGAGCAGCTTTCAGGGGTGACAGCCCAGGCTAGTTTGTGGCCAGGGTCAGGACTGACCACGTTGGCTTGCAGGGGAGCGTGTGGTGAGACAGAGGCAGGAAAGTGGCTACTGTCTGCTGCGTACGGCCCTGTCCAGGTGGACGAGGAGTCCGCAGGGGTGTGTGGGCACAGACGCAGAGGCCTTTGGGTGTCCGGAGGGTCGGAAGGTCAGGAGGTCCAGCGGGGTCTAGCGGGGAGCTGCCCGGCGGCCTCGGGAACGAGCTTTGCGGCCGGAGCTTTCCGCCTGCTATTCCCGACTTCTGTGCTGCGTCAGCCGGCTCTGCCCCTTTGCCTCCCTGCCCCTGGCCCCCACTCGTGTCTCTGGTTGCTGACCGCTCCCTCCGCAGGCCGCCTTGCTCACCTGCATCCCAGTGCCCCGTGGCTGTCAGCGGGGCGTCCTTGTGCCCTTTCTCCGCACGCACCCTTGGGGAGGCCCGCTGCCTGGGCCCGAGGCCTGCGTGTGCTCCTGGCGCCGGTCCCCGTCCTCGGCCTGACTCTGAGCCCCGGGGCCGCTGCCAGTCTCCGTCATCCCGTCTCCTGGGCTTTTAGCCCTTGTCACTGCCGACCGGCACCCCCTTTTCTCTAACTGGCGCCAGGCTCCTTCCCCGAGAGACAGCAGTCCTAGGTAGCTGCCGACTCCAGGCTTGGAACCAGCACGTGATGTCGCTGAACAGGACCCCTCTCCCTTTCCTGGCCGGCCCTCCTGGAGCGCTAGGACCCCCAGCTTCTCTCCTCTTCTGCCCTCTGCCGAGCCATCCCCGCGTGCAGGACACAGCAGCATGGGTCTGGGGAGAACAGTGCTGGCTCTGAGCGGTGCGGCCGCTTCCGGAAAGTTGTCCTGAAAGGGAAAGGCGTTACGGACACCATGGTTCAGCGCTGTTCATTCTAGTGGTGGGAAGACTTGGTGTGTTTGCTGGGACATTACACAGCTGGTTCCCATGGTACACGGGCCCGGGGCGCTCGGCAGACCCGGGCAGGGGGTGGCAGGTGAGAGAGCAGGCTCCCCCACTGCTGTCCCCCGGGATGGCCCCACCGCGTGCGTGTCCATGCTATAGGAGCACAGACCAGTGTAGGATGGCCACCGTCCTCCCAGTGTCCTTTCGTGTCTTCATAGTGCCTAAAACAGTAAACCCTGCTTGTAGGTTGAAGTAAAATGTTCCTTATTTTTTTTTTTTCCCTATGAGGCATTTTCTGCCTCCTTTGGCCCTTGTTTCTTTGAAACACAGCCCTCTCCTGCAGCCTTCCTAACACAGGAGGACAGTTCCTGCCGCACGGTGGGGTTTTTCCTGGTTAGTGCACTGGGTTTCCTGTCCCCTTTTATTTTATGAGCTTTTAAACGGCAGGCACGGTATTCACATTTCTGTAATCTCTACCTCGGGGCCATATGCGCTGGCGTCACCCCGAGTCGCTGTCTGTCCGAAGGAACAGACGCCACTGGGGAGACCGGCATGGCACGACACCGCGGTCACCGGGGTGACCATAGTGTGCAGCGACTGTCCCATTCACTGAGTGTTACTTATGGTATCTCCTGCGCGCCCCCCACCCCCCAGTGTTCTCTGGGGTCCCGGGCAGTCCAAGATAAGGGATTTCGTTGCACATGGCTTTTAGAGTCATTGTCTTACCGGTTTCTACACGTGGACAGTAATCAGCCATGGAGAAATCGCTTATTACTATAGATAGAAGTGATTTCCTTTGGTCCTTCTGTCAATTTTGATATGTAATTTCTGGCTTAATTCTGTTTTTTTTAAGTGGAATGTTTTCATCATAAAAGAAAAGAGCAATATAATAGGCATTCCCACCCCAGCCCTGGGCTCGGCTCTTCACAGACCGCACACACGGACCTAGCACGGGTCCTGAAAAGCCATGCGTGCACCCCCGTGTCCCTTTCCTCTCTCAGTGCCTGTGACAGAAGCATGTCGCCCCATGTGTCGGGCTGGAAGCAGCCTGCCCTGCCCCTTCCCTGCGTCCCCCTTGTTACCCAGCTGGAGGATGGGGAGTGTGTACACCCTCTGGCCTTGGCTTCCTCATCTGTAGGACAGAGTGACTGTGAGGATCAGTGATTTACTGTAGGACGTGCAGCGTGACACCCGTGCAGTGTCCCCAGTGTATGGCTCATAACTTGGCCTCAGTGAAGTTGTCCCTAAATGACAGATCAGCAGAGTGCAGCTCCGTGGCGGGCAGCGGCACCCCTTTGAGCCTTCTCACTCGGCCTAACCACGCCTTCGCCTGCGCTTCACCTGCCGCGTTCTTGAGCGGCGCGGAGAAAGACTTCCTTCCGTTTGGGGCATCTCTAAAAAGAAATCATAAGACAAGAGGTTTTGGCAGAAAGCATTATTGCTACTAACGAGTTTTTTACTGATGATTATTTGTATGTTTCTGTTCTACCTAGATAAGCTTGAGTGCCTTTTTCAGTTCATGCTAAACCTTCTTTTTATTTTTAGCATCCCTACCCGACAGAAGATGAGAAAAAACAGATTGCTGCTCAGACAAATTTGACTCTACTCCAAGTTAACAATTGGTAAGATGTGCCTGCTCTCTGAAATTGTGCCGTCGGCATGATAGAGCCCTCGAAAACACGCTAATAAGTAGTGGGATTCGGTTGAAAGTTATCTGAGTCCTTTTAACTAGCAACACTGTGGTATCAGAGTACTGGATAATTGGTGGCAGGACATTTGAGAATAAATCAGCACACACTTCCAACTTAAACATTTAATGCTCACTATAGACTTTTCATCTACATCCTGCTTTGTCCAGTTAGAAATGTGTTTCTCTGGGTGGCTCAGTTGGTTATGCGTCCAACTCTTGATTTTGGCTCAGGTCATGATCCTTGGGGTCACGAGATCGAGCCCCGCGTCAGGCTCTGCACTGGGCATAGAGTCTGCTTGGGATTCTCTCTCTCCCTCCCTCTGCCTCTGCCCCTCCCCACACTGCTTGTACCTGCACACACACTCTCTCTCAAAAAAAAAAAGTGTTTCTCCATTGTGTTACTATCACACCTAAGTCCCCACGTTCATTCAGAAACATGATGTTTTTGTAGATGAGCTTCTCTGGGTGGGGCATGGTGGCGATGAGGCATCTCGACCTCTGGTGCCCCCCCCACCCTACGGCTCCCCCACCTTTGGAAACCTTGTGTCACTTTGGTCAACTCTGAGGGGGGAGGCAGCCCTTCAGCAGGAGTCGGGGTCCTAAGAGGGAAATGCCTGCGGCAGTGTCGACTTTATTAAATGAAATATCCTGTTGTAATTTCGGCATCACATACTACTGTGGACGCCGGGACCCCGAGCACGTGCGTTCGCCTGAGATCACAGCTGTTCACCATGACGAAGGGCATTAATGTCGAGGGGTGCACTTCCACTTGTGTGTCAGTCATCTGTCTCATTGGTACTCACTCACTCGACGTGGGAAACAGGTTCGGCTTATAAAATGGGCCTCCGTAAAAGAAAGCACAAATTCTACCACTTGTAAACGCTGCTACTTTTTTAACTGTTAGAATTTAAACTTGAGCAAGGTCAGGTAAGTTCCCATATAAGTGACAACATCTCCCAACATACGCAGTCGTATATGCAGGAGGTATGCTTTGGGTTGCACTAAATATTTGTGATCTTGCATTTGGGCCATTGTTTTGGGTGCCGATAAAATAGGCCGTGCTCTTTGAATTATTTCCTGTTAAGTCTTTTAAATAGGGTTAGCAAAAACAAAGGTTTCACCTGTGTTGCTGCGACATTTGCGATGGCCCTAGTACACTCGGTTTCCTCACGTTCCTCGTGTGACACTTCCAGTCTGGGTTTAGCCCTAAGGATGGTCGATTGACTGATTGGGGGTGGACGTTAGGGTCACTTCTTTGGACATTCTGAATGCTTTTGTTACTGCTCAGCTTTCTTGCTTTTCTTCATCTATTAACTTCCTTGAGCTCCCTACCTTGTGGCTCTATTAAGTTAACAGAATTGTCTGATCTGGAAGGTTTGACGTCAGCTTTTAATTTTTACATTAATAGCAGTTTACTAGCATGACTTGCATAAAATTTCTAGAAACTTTTCATATTTGTAGCTGCTACTACTTTTTGTGACTTTCCTTCTATGTTTACAAAAATCACATGTTGGCCTGAGCTTGAACACCCCATTAGCTTGCACCCCACCACCTAGCAGTGTTGAACGCGGAGGCTGAAGAGGCACATGCTGAGCAGCAGCGGGCTTCCCTTCCCAGGCAGTGGTGGGGTCAGTGCCGAGCTGGGGGCTGCCAGGGCTCCCCGGTGACTTCCAGTACCCGCCTTGCTTGTGCTCCTGGGACCAGATCATTGCCTGGAGCTCTGTGGCTTCAGTCCCCTCGTTTCCATTGGAGAATGTATCCTCTTGCACTTGAAGATGCTTCTGAATGCTAGGATTTCATTTTATTTTTTAAACTTTATTTAAGTCATCTCTGCACCCAATGTCGGGCTTGCTCTCGGTGGAGACGAGTGGCATGCTCCACCTGGGCCGGCCAGGTGCCCCGTGAGTGTTGGGATGCTAATGTTAAGTGGCCTGGGAGCAGGTGCATCCCAGTTCTGCTCTGCATGGAGAGTGGGGCATGGGGGTCACACCGCCAGGACCAGCCTAGAGCCCGAGTCTCCCGAGGAGCTTGTGTTTCTCTTACACCCTGAACATGGCTCCTTGCTCTCATCAGGGCCCAGCTTGCGGGGGTGAGCAGGCTCGGCTCCAGCGAGAGGTGAAACCTCTCCTCCCTCGTAGTCCTAGAGGAGGAAGCAGAATTGCCCCTAGGCATGGCAGGTGCAGCCGTGACCATATCCGAGTGTGCGGTCCGAACAGCCGCAGACTTCTGGCTGGCGGGGGCGGTGGACCGGAGCTCCGCTGCCCTCCCAGGTGCAAGGGCACCGGCTGGGTGCTGGGAGGGTGAGGGCTGAAGGAGGCAGGCTTTCCGTGCACATACTTAACGTCCATGAAGCGTGTTCCCGCGTGCGACCGCGTGTGACCGCCGCTCTGCTGGTGCGGGGTCAGGTCCCCATCGCAGCTGCCCATCCCTGCCCAGGCTGCCTGGGGCCACTGTCGCAGCGCCGGCACAGCTCAGGGGTTTAGGACAGCGGCCCCTCCGTAACTAGCCCATCACCTGGGGTGGTTTCGAGGGCCGCAGCTCAGGCCCCAGAGCCGCACGCGCGGAGGTGACCACGAGTGGCATCAGGCACCATCCGCACCCCGAGGGCCGGGAGGGACGGGACTGCGGGGTTGTGTGGGGTCGCTGTTTGCTGGGTGAGGGGGCGAGACGCCCAGGGCGGTGGGGGCCGTGCTCAGCGGGAGGGCTAGAGGAGGGCCGGCCTGGTGACCCGGGCCCCTGTGTCGCCCTCAATGCCCAGGTTCATCAATGCCAGAAGACGGATTCTTCAGCCCATGTTGGATTCTAGTTGTTCAGAAACTCCAAAAACTAAGAAGAAAACTGCTCAGAACAGACCGGTCCAGAGGTTTTGGCCTGACTCCATCGCCTCCGGAACTGCACAGCCGCCACCCAGCGAGCTGGCCATGTCGGAAGGTGGGCTGCCTGGGTGCTTGCGGGGGGCGGGGGGGGACGGGCGAGGAGGGCAGCGGGGTGGGGGGGCGGGGCGGCCTTGGCTGCCTGGGATGCTGTGAGCCCTGGGACGCGGGCACAGCTCCAGTGTTTTGCATGTGATGTTATGTGCAGAGCCCCGTGACAGAGTCGCACACGCAGTGCCTGCATCTCAGCGGCCCAGTGTCCGCGATGTGTTCTCTCCCATTTTCCCCTTGCTGTGTGTCTTCTCCCTCAGACTTCAGTGCGCAGGAAGGAGCAGTCCCATCCTCACCACCTGGCGTTTGGCCTTGATTTGTTTACCCGCAGTGAGCCCCTGCCGGCCCGGTCCTGCTCTTGCTAGTCCCGCTGACCGGGCCTCTCTCGGCAGTATGCTGCTACGAAGTCAGGGAACTTGGGGGCCTCTATTTCTTCAGATATATGTTCTGTCACCCCTCCCCCACCCCTTCAGGGACCCCTGTTGCCCATTTGGTGCGCTTTCCCGGGTTTGAGATTCTGTTTCTTGTTTCTGCCATTTTGATGGTTTCTGTGTCTGTCTTTGGGCTTCCTTAAGCTCTTCTTCTGTGGCTCACCAGCCACCGGTCCCACCGCGGGTGTGTGCAGGGTGGACATTGTCGTGCTCATCTCCAGAAGTTCCGGGAGAGTCTTTGCTACCTTTCCTGGCGCCGCCTCATAGAAAACAGTCACAGTAACTGTTTTGATGTCCTTCTCTGCGGGCTCTAATATCTGGCCGTCCTGCACTGGTTTCTGACGGAGCTTGCTCCTCACTGTGGGTTGTCTCCCTGCCTGTGTGCGGGCCTGGTAATCTTGACTGGATGCCAGGCGCCGTGACTGTCACCTTGCTGGGGGCTGGTGCTTTTGCACCGAGGCAAGTCCTCCTGAGCTCTCTTTGAGCAGTGACTTACTTGGGACGCTCTGACCCTCTTGTGCCTTGCTTTTGTGATTAGTCCTTGTAAGGTGACCCAGGCAGGGGTGCTCAGTCTCAGGCTGACTGCTCAAACCAAGGCAAGACTAGATTGCCCCCGGCCCCCATGCAGCCAGCTCTCAGAGGCCTGGACAGTGTCCTCGAATCTTCTCAGGTGGTTCTCTCCCAGGGCGTGATTGTTTCCTGTATGTGTGTGGGGGGGCCTGTCCTCCCCCGAATGCACCCGGGCGGCTTTCCACAGCCCTGCTGGCCGGAGGGCTGGGGCGGGCCTCTCACGGTGGGCTGTCAGCCATGCTTGATTTTGTTTCTTGAGTTGTGGTGTGTGCATTTAAAGCTGGGGCTTCAGCCTTTGGGTTTTGATATGCAGTGGTCTTCTATTTATATTTAAATAATTTATGTTTTCAGTTTTCTCTTTTAATCCAAGAATTAGTTACAAAGGTGTTAGTTCTCTCTTCCTCTCCCCCCCACCCTTGGAAAAGACAATGCTGTATTTTGAGGAAGAAGTGCAGGCAGAACTATCCAGTGAAGAGTGAGTTTTTCCTCCATCCTGGCTCCTGTCTTCTCCAGAAACCATCCTCATGACCAGTCTCCCGTCTGTGCTCCCACTGCATATGTGACATGATACACTGTGCACAGACCAGAGTGAATGAATGAATCTCTTTAAAAGTGTTTCCCAGGTTGTGGTGTATGACACAGTCCTCTCCTGCCATCACCTATCACTACTTCTGCAGGCCTTTACAGATGAGCGCACGAGGCCCCCCCCCGCCCCCCGTGTGTGTGCGGCATGCTCCTGTAGCTTCTGTCCCTCGCTGTCAGGCACACCTTATAAGCTTATAACCCGCATGTTATGAGGTTCCTGGTCTCTTTTGTTCTCCGTGCGGCACCTCTTTTCTGCCCTGTGTGTCTATGTTCTTTATAGTCCTGACCCCTGAGGCCTTCTGTAGACCAAGAGCTTTTAGAGTGTATTAGCTAAGGAAGGGCGGAGGCTGATTCTAGAGACCGTTTCCTAATCCCTGTGGAACGTCCCAGAAACATATATAGGGGTCTTAATACGAGGTCAGATAAGCAAACAGTGCCCCGCCGAGTAACAAAGTGTCTTCCTGCGTGGGTGCTAATTTTAACCTTCTGCCCCAGGAGCCGTTGTGACGATCACCACGCCTGTGAGCATGAACGTGGACAGCCTCCAGTCTCTGTCCTCAGATGGCGCCACGCTGGCAGTGCAGCAGGTCATGATGGCGGAACAGAGCGAGGACGAGTCTGTGGACAGCACGGGGGACAGTGGGGCTGCACTCGCCCCCACCCACATCAGTGGCCTGGTGCTGGAGAACAGCGACTCCCTGCAGTAGGGGGCCAGCGTGGCCCAGAACCATGGGGCGGGCTGGCCTGACTTTTTATAGTTTGCACAGCAAACATTTTACACAGTTTTATTTCTAATATGTTTTATATGTAGATAGAGAAGAGTGCACTTTTGTATTTCATAGTATGCTTCAAGAGCACCTTTGCTGGTGCAGCGACTTCTTTCAAGTGTGTGCGTGCGTGTGTGTGCGAGTTTTTAAGGAAATTCTTTAAAGGTTTAACGCTAAAAATGTGATGAATGACGAACACCCCTGTGAGCCCCTAATTAGATTAAGGAATAGTGTTGCCATTTTCTAAAAAATTATGCAGTTTTAATTTAGTTCTGTGGTTGAAGCAGGTCTCAGTGGGCTGATTTCTTTGTGTGGCCCATGGATTTGAAAGAAGCTTCTGCATCTTAAAGCTGCCGGCGCGAGGCAGACACCGCACAACAATAAAGTAGGCGTGACTCCGTGGTGGGCGTGCGGCGGTCTGAATATGCTTAGGTTCTCGCACATTCCGTGAGCCTGTTTCATTTGCTATAGATAAAAAGAAATTCCTATTTTTACCTTGCTGGAATTATTGGATAAAAAAGCTATTTTTATAAATTCGTTATGAATTGGATTATGACTATGCTGAGGATAAAATTTCTAGAGAAGAAACAATACATGCTTATTATTTCGATTTGGAATGTTCTGAACCGACCAAATTTAGTGAACCTGCCCCAAGTTAGCTAGCATTCCATGGTTCTCTGCCATCCCAGGGTAGTGATTTATATTTACTACTATGAAAGAAACAACTGTTGAATGAAATTTTGATACCTGCAAATTTTAGTTAATATGTTAATGCTCAGACTGCATCTTACACTCGATCTGAACATAGATCTAAAGGTATTGCTAAATAGGACTAGGTAAGTCAGGTGAAGTGGTGGCCAGTAATTGGTTAACAGCTCTTACCACCTGTATTTCTGTCTGATTTAAATCTGACTACAGTTAAATGGTTACTCTGCCACTTAGCTGTGTGTTGTTTTAGGATGTTTTAGTCAGCCATATGTTTGCGTAGAATGTTTATTACAAACTAATATAAAATGTCCTCCACCCCACTGGCTCAGAGTGAGGGCCAGTAGCCCACGCTCAGCTCCGTTTCATAATCAACATCGCCCCGAAGTGACATGGTGACCCGGACTGGGGTGACAGCATGACTCTCCCACCACTGGTCCTGGTGTCCGTTTTTTCTCCTTGTCCCTTGTTGCTTTGGAATTTCCAGAGCCCTTCCCCTCTGACTTGATCACATGAGATTTGGAATAATCTTAGGACTTCTGTTTTCCTGGTGACGGGAAGACAAGACAAACCAAAAGAGTAGACTGGGTTTTGTTTCCTTTGTTTTCATGTATTTGCAAGTAGGGCTCTTTCTCAGAGTGAAAACAAGCTACCTTGTTTCATCAAGTCTTTACGTGGTCTTACATGGGATGCCCACAGTTCACGTTTCTAAAGGATAGTTTCATGTTTGGGAAAGTCGTCCGTTCTTGAGGTTCACTAGCAGTAGCTGGCTACAGACCAGGGTGACACTGAAGGATATTTTGAGCGAGGGCAGACTTCGTTCTGCAACTGGTATTTCCCCCCAAAATTTATGGATTAAAGTTAATCACAGAAGAGTGTTATTTCCTAGATAACTTAGAAGGCAGTTAGAAATACATGGAAATTTCTCTTAAAATATTTCAGGAGCTTTAGAAGAAAAATTTGACTATCAGCTCTTGGCGAGAGAATCACATTTTTAAGCAGCAATTACATTCCTTATTTATAAACAATTTGTAATATTTTCAGTAAATCTGCCCCAGTTTAAAAGATCATTTTAACTTGACCTAAAGTCTGACATTGTTGGACTTCTTGAAGTTAGGACCTGTGGAGGCCAGCCTGCCGGCTTCTTCCATCCCCAGTCCCTCCTAGCTGCCCCTGCTCTTTGGCCGAGTGCAGACGTTCTCCCAGTGTGGACTCCCAGCCGGTCACCATCTCCCTCCCTGCCCGGGGATCGCGAGGGCTACACAGACCTCATCGGTCTGGAGACGGGGAGCTGCACAGTGTCCCCTCCCCCCCCCGCCCCCCCGCTGCTGGCCTGAGACTCGGCCTTCCATGCCCAGTGACGCCACGTGCTCCCTCGGGCTGAGGCCGGTTTTCTTAGGCTCTCAGTTCTCACTGGCTTCAGAGCACCAGGATGGGCCACTCAGAGGGCGGGGCGTCCGGGCCAGCCCGAGGTTCCTTCAGACGGCCCGGGGACCACAGGTGCTCGCACGCAGCGCGGCACGGCAAGCTGTTTCAGTTCAGGGATCCGCCGCCCAGCGTCTTTGTGGTCTGTCTGCCTTTTATAAAAACCCCCCCATTTCCAGCCCTCGGGCATTCCAGAGAATCTTTGCAAAGGGGACTGCATCAAACGTTCAGTTTCTGTGAGCAGATTCGGTCCTGACTCTCCACAAAAAGGATGCTTTGGATGCGTCCTGAGACCCAGACAAAACATGCTGTCCCCCCTGTTGTGCTGTTGAGCAGGTAGCCGATGGCCGACTGCGCCTGCAGTGTCCTGACTGCAGCTAGTCCAGTAAGTTCAGTGTTTGTCCCGGATGCAGAGTAAGGGGTTGGGGGGGGCAGCCAGCGGCGCCGGCTCGCACCCAGACCGCAGGAGCGGGGCTGCGAACACCCCGCACCCCCGGGGCACAGGGGCCTTTTCCGCACGGCCCGTCATGGGCCGGGCCGGTCCTTCCCTGTGGGAGCCAGCGTCAGGGTGCGCTCCTTCTAGACAGACTCGAACATACCTGGACGGGGGGAGAAGGCCTGTCTCTGGCAGTTAGTGACAGAAATAACTCCGCAATCTGCCTTCGTTTTAGTTCTGTTTGGTCTATGAACTGACAATCTTTAAAATGTGAATACTGTAACAGTATGTTTTCTTGAATTGTTGTCTTTAAAAGGGATTTTTGTGAAGCGATTGATTTATCAAAGCAAAAAAATTAAAAATAGAAACATGCTTTATGGATGTTTTATTTTCTAAAGCAGAGGTCACCACAAGCTGCTTTTCCATTTTAGGTAAAACATTCAAATCGTTGACAGGTTTTGCTGGTGATGTGGGGCTCGTAGTGAGCCCTGCACTTTGTTTAAGAATTAGGCTTGTACTGCGCTGGACATTCAGGTCCATTTGCATTTTCAGGACTCTTTCCTTAAATTACTTTCTTCAATTAGTCATTGGTATTCCGGGGGAAAAAATTGGGAAGTTTCTGTTTGTTTTTTATTGTAGTTTATCATAAACCTAATTATTTTGATAGTAATGAGAAAATGATTCATCAGTGAGGTATTGCCTTCCACGGTGCATGTTGTAAAGTGACACCCAAGGTCCTTCTGGACTTGTTGAAGAGCTGCATTAAAACAATTTCAGAGAGTTTTTTCTTTGTAGTCCAGTGTGTTTTAACTCCCTCCAAACTGTTTATCCTTAGAGGCCAAAGTAAGCAGACTTAAGTATTTTGTAAAAAAGTACATCTGAAATTGTAAATCTCGCAGGCGATGAGGAGAGCCGGCTCCAAAGTATATTGTTTCAGGAAATGTTCTGTTTGGAGGGAAAATGGAGCCTCTGTGTCGTCTCTCCAGCTCCTCTAGGTCAGAATTTTAACCAGGTGAGACCTTGGCCCAGTCTTTGACCCCTTTAGGCTTCAAGTGCTTTGTTCATAAAAGGAAGAAATTGGTTTATAAGGTTTATTCTAGCTCAAAAATAATATTTATAACTAATGCAATTCTACTCATCTATCTAGAGAGATAAGTAAATAAGTAGTGATTTAGCAAATCCTGAGAATAAGAAATATATTTAGATTAATGTTTTGTATTTTGTTCTGTTATGCAGAGGTCAGCAATAATGTATGTTATGTTTAACCCCTATGCTGTGCTTATAGGCACTCTGGGACGAAATTCTTAGCACAAATGATTTTTGCCCTTTTACAATGAGATCTTCTTGTCTTCACTAAGATCTAAGATCTCTGTACCATTTTTAAACTAAAATTTGCAAAGCTGCAGAACTGTGACATCTAAGCCCACGTGACGAGGAGATAAATGGTGGTCTCGAAAGCGGGCCTGCGGCTAGCTTGCCAACAGTCCACCGTCCCCAGCGCCCGGGCCCCGGGCCAGCCTCCTCCCAGCAGCAGCTCTTCCACCCCTCCCACAGTCAGTCTGTGAAGAGCTACTTTGTGTGGCTTAATTGAATAATTTAGTATTTTATGTACAGATAGTATTTAGAAGGCATTATCTTGCACAGATGTTTCCGTTTCTTATGTCATTTAAGTGAACCCAAAACTTCAGCCTGCAAACTCAGTGATGGCTTTAATATGGATGAGGAATTCTCTTATTGCAGTGGTTTGAAAAGGAACATTTTAAGGATGTTGATGGCTTCAATTGCTTAGGCATTTTTTTAGAAAATGGCTTGTGGGGGAAAATTAGGTATATTTTAAAATATGTTGCTTTCTGTTATCTCTGTTTTCTCTAGTATTAGCACAGCAGTCCTGTCAGAAATAGTAGTGAAGCCCATAAGCATCTACACTGCGTGTTAGTGTAGACGGGAGATCTGAAGCCCAGAGTTTGGTTAGAGCAGAACAGTGGAGTTGAGCCAGAGAAGCCGAGAAAGGCGTGTTCCTGGGAGTGGAAGAGGTGTGTGTGTGTGGAGGACGGTTGGGTTGGGCTGCCAGGAGGTAATCGGGGCTTCTAGCAGAGCAGGGTCAGAGAAGTGGGGTGAGGCAGATGCCAGGGGTCACGGGGAGGTGACTGTGGATCAGCAGATGATGAGGGAGCTTGTCTTTGTTACCTTGTGGAAGACCTTTTAAGACCCCAAACACAAAAACAATAGGATAAAACATGAGTGGATTTGGCCAGATCCAAAGGAAACTTTTCTGATCAGCGAAGGACACTGTGGACTGTGAACGGCTGATGATCTGAGAGGAGTGTTTTTCTGTTTTAGCATCTACCATTGATGAGGAGTTACTATTTAGGTTTAAGGGAAGAGTCCTGCAGATCAAAAAGAAAAAGACTAGAAATCGAGAGAAAAATGGCAGAGGATATGAACCTGCAGTCACTGAAGGGCGCATCTGAGCGGCCAGCAAGCCTATGGAGGAGTGCTTAGCCGCACCATAAGCCGGGCTCCGGAAGTGAAAACCGCTTTCTCTCTCAGGCCAAAGCGGGGAAGGTGTTTCTGAGTCTGTGTAGAAATGGGAGCCTCCATCCTGGGGTAGGAGCATCACTGGGACCCCTGCCATGGGGTCCTTCTCACGGGCCTCCAGGGACTCTAGGAAACGGAAGCGTGGTGTGTGCTGGCCCCCACCATCCTGGCCAGGGAATTGTGACCGCTTCCTGTGTGGACCGCTGCGGAGATGCCCCCAGCAGTGTTGTTCGTGGCCGCAGGGCATCCGGAAGCACCGTGGGGGTCCGTGCCCAGGGGAAGGGGAAGGCCCGTGTGGTGGGGTGCACCTGCTGGAGGCGGGCGCCCCCTACTAGGTGAATCTGACGAGCGGTGTTCTTAGGTCTGGTTCAGAGGACTGCTCCTTCTCTTGACAAGGGGGGGTGGTGGTGTTATCTTTGTTGTGCGGCTCCTAACTCGTGATGGAATGCCGGTTTATCGGATAGAACAGGAGAGACCAAGGTAGATAGTCCTCGTGCCCGGGAATGGGCACACCCCTTCCGACAGGCCATTAGCGTGTGTGAGTGAATCTTTTGAACCGACGTGCTGGGTTTAGGTCTCGCCGTTGCTTTTTCACCTTCAGATTCCTCCAGCCAGACCCCCGTCCTGTGTTTCTGCCCTGCCTTCAGCTTGCGGCAGGCCCTGCACACCTGAGGCGGTCTCCCTGCTCCCACCCCGCCCCCAGCAGAAGACCCCGGCAAGGCGGGAGGTGGTGGGCAGGGGCTGTCCCGATTCAGCCTCAGTGGTGGGCAGGTCCTGGGGGCTTCCGGGGTCAGCCTCCTCAGCGGCCCTGCCCGCTCGTGCCTCTGCCGGCAAACTCTGCCTTCCGGAGTGGTAGGACGTGGGCCTGGGATCAGGGCTGTATCCTGGGGCCAAAAGGCTCGCTGGGCCTCTCCAGGAGTGGCAGTCTTTATGGGTTCCTCCCCTTGTGGATTAAGGCTCTTCATGTGAGGGAACAGTTGGGGTGGTGGCCGGGGGTCATGCCTACCCACCCTGAGGGGGTCTCTCCAGTCCCCTAGCCTGCTCCCCACGCCTCCTCGCCAGCCCCCGTGTGAGGGGGCGCCGTATCCCTGGATGGCTGGCTGTCTTCTTTGCCCTCCCTGAGCCGGTCTGCGTCCCCTCCTGCCCTGGAGGGGTTTGTCCCTCTGGAGGTCAGTCATCTGGTGGCTTGGCCGCTGCAGCTCTGAGCCAGAGAAGAGTTAGGGTTTTGTGGGTTATCCACTGTCCTTATTGTCAGGTGTATACTCCCGTGGCTTCTCCATCAGAGGGGGAAGCAGGGCTGCAGCATGATTAACAAGACCCCCAGACAGGTTGGCCAGGAAAAAGCGGCAGCCTTAGGTCTGCCACACCTTCCGTCAGGTGAGAAGTGCGCAGAACGTGCCTACCCGAGGGTACTCTGAGGCCACGTGCCTGGCCCAAGGCATGCGTCCCAAGGCGGATGCCGGGGACGGAGGGAGGGTGCTCGTAGCGGGTCGGGCATCACGAGCTCTCTGCACCGGAGGGCCACAAGGTAAAAGTGGGAATCAGGAAGGAGAAATGGGACTTGGAAATCACTTTTACTTAGAATTTGAGAGGTGGTTTCATGGTCTTCTGCTTCCCCTTGAGCGTTCTCAAACCCCTGCGATCCTGATTGTGTGTGTGGGAATGTTTGTGTTCTGGGCGTGGCAGGCTCTTGTGGCCACAGCAGCGCTTCCGGCCCCGCGTGCTCTTCTAGGACTTTGTCCATCAAGCAAATCCCATCTCTGGAACCTGGCGAGGTTTAGGTAGCGCCTGGCCGGCCGTCCTGGCACCTCCTGGCACTGTGCCGGAGAGGCTCTGACCCGCTGCACGGCGCTTCCTCTGTGCTCTCCCATCCCCCACCCCCATCCGCCGTGTCCCCCGGTCCCCTCCTGTCTCCTCCGTGGCCCTTGACAGTTTCTCAGGCTCTGCACACAGACTTCATTGGTCCTCGCCTCTCTTTGAACTTGTAAACTTTGAGTGAAGCAAATACGCGCTCAAAACAGATGCAACTTTTGATGTGCGTCAGTACGGCAAAAACAGTCGGCATGAATCTGTTAGGATACATTTACAGAAATTCCGGGGCGGCCAGCCTGCAGACGCCCTGCCCACCACACCCCGCCGGGGCAAGTGATCCCCTGGCACAGCACACGCGGGCGCCCCCCCCAGCCTGGCCAGCCCCGGGCGGACACACCGGGCAGCCAGAGCCTGCCCCCCGTTTGAAGGCCAGCTTTCAGGGCCCCCAGTGGGAACCAGGCTGGGGCAGAGCCACCTCTGCACACAACCTGTCCCTGTTGTCGTGAGCACCGCCTCCCTTGAAGCCCGGCTGCCGGTCTGTGTGCCTCACCCCTGCCCAGGCAGCAGGCCCGGCCTCGCTGTCCCTGCCCCGCCCCTGGCTGTGCTGGCAAAGGGTTCAGAGGAATGGGCGGCGCCACTCTGACGAGTCCTGCCGGCCTGGGCAGCTCCTCTGTTCTCAGGACTTCGTGGCCTCTGCTGTCAGAGCGGCACCCCGACATGGTCGCCAAGACCTGTGGAAACCATGGGCTCACCCCGTCCAGAGCGCTCGCACACACGCGTCTGTGGGCGGGAATTGCCACACGGAGCTTGCAAACCAACGAGCTGGCCTCTGGGAGGATGCTGCTCTGGCCAGGCAGCCCGCGGCCAGGCAGAAGGGCTCCTCCGGGAGCCGAGCGCCGCGCCAGGACTGCGGGGGGCCTCAGCACAGGGCGGCTCTGCCCCAGCTCTGAGGGTGGCCCTGCTGCTGCCGGGCCCTCGGGCGGCACGCTCCTGCCCCAGGGCCCTCGGCCTGGAGGGCAGCCCCCACAGCTCTCCAGCCTCCACTGTCACCTTTCAGTGGGCACCAGCCCTCCCAGGCTCAGGGGATGTGGCCGCTTTGCCTCCCTGCTCTCTCCAACTCTCTTCCTGTTTTATTCTGGTTTTCACTGTAGTAAACAGAACATAAAGTATGGCATCTTAACTACGTTTTTAAGCATACAGTTCTGTGGTAGTAAGTCCATTCACCCTACCGTGCAGCCCATCCCCACCATCCATCTCCAGAACTTCCCATCTTCCCAAACTGAAGCTCTGTCCTCATCAAACACAGTCCGCACGCCCCTCCCCTCCCCGTTCTCCATCTTGTGTCCATGGGTCTGATCCTTCGAGATGCCTCTGCAAGTGGAAGCATACCGTATTTGCCCTTCTGTGACTGGTTTCTTTCGCAGAGCGTGATGTCCTTAGGTTCATCCTTGTAGCATGTGTCAGAATGTCCTTCCTCCCCAGGGCTGGGTAATATTCCGCATGTACAGAGTGCGCTCGTTTGCTTCTTGTTTGACCCCTCCCACCAGAAGGGAAGGTCTGGTGTCCAGGCGTTTGTAATTCAGGGCCTGGACTGGTGGCTGGTGTCTAGGGACGGTGTCTGCGGGATGCAAGAGTCTGTGTGCCAGCTGGCAAGCTGCCATGCCCAGAGGCTGTGCCGATTTCCGCTCAGGAGCCGGCTGAGGCCCATGCGATTTCCTGCTGCTGACCCTCACTAACCTGGCAGATGAAGAAGAATCTGGCCCGTGGCCTGTGTCTCTGAGTCCAGGAGTAGGCAGGTTGGCCGGCCGGCCTCCTGAGGGGTGAAGTGTGACTGACAGTACTTTAAGCCAGGGCGACAAAGCCCAGAAAGAGCTATTCAGGGGCCAGAGTCTTTCCAGCACTCGTCAGACCATATGGAGGACAGCTGGTTCCTCATCCCGCAGCTTGAGCTCCAGGCAGAGCATGTTCCTCCTGGAATCCAGCGTGCACTCAGCTGTGACAGAGAATGGGGGAAGGGACTGAGAATACAGCCGTCCCTAGGTGGCCGTGGAGGAAATGTCCCCACTCAGCGCTTCTTGCTGCAGGAGACTCGGTCTGTGGCTCCTTCGGCAAAAAGGAAACTGCCGGGAAGGCCAGACTCCAGTGGTCCTGAAGCCGGAGAACCAGGCTGAGGCCGGCGGCTGAGCCGCCGCTGCTCACACCGGGAATGGGGCAGATGCCACGCCACAGCCCCCACCCCCTGGCCCAGATCCCACAGGGGGCTCCATGTCCTCCGTCCTGGTGGCGTGGGCCGGCGCGTCTGATCCGCCGGGCTTGTCTGCTGCCTGCCTCCGAGCTACAGAGATGTCTGGAGAGTGATGGGTGCTTCCGGGTCTGCAGCGTGGAAGGTGGGCTTTGTCTCCCGCCAGGACATGTCAGGAGCTTAGGTGATCCACAACCCACAAGAGCGCTCACCTTCGGGGCATGGCCACGAGTGACCCACGTTCCCCAGCCCAACTCAGCAGGAGGAGGGGGCACGCCAGCCACATGGGATGGTCACATGGACCCAAGGAGCTCCGTTGCCTTGCCCTCTGGGACACTCGTGTCCTGAGCCAGCTCTGTCACTTGTGGGGGTTCCCTCAGGAAAGGGCAGGGTGTGTCCCCACCCATCTTTGATTTTTCTTTTTCCTTAGGACTGGCACCCCCACCACTGGCATTTCAAGCTGAGCCTGTGGCCAGCTGACTAAAGACCCCAAAGTCCAGCTTCCCTCGCAGCCAGGTGTGGCCCTGCCCCAAGTTCAGGCCCGTGGGCCGAGCAGGCCACCTGTGCTGATGACTGCTGGCCGTGTCCAGAGCAAGGGGCTTCCCGCCACAGCCCAGGCCCGGGATGCCAGGTAGGAGCCTCCGTCTCAGAGACAAGGTGGTAATGACTAAGGGACTGCGCTTTATAAGGGGTGCGTCCAGGGCACCAGGCTGCTCTCTGCCGGAGGATGCGGGCATGGGAGGGAGGTGCGCCTCCAACAGGCGGCTTGTCGCCCAAGGCCTCCCGCTCCGGAGGGGCGGTGTCTGGGGGTGACGGTGAGGGGACAGCCAGGGACATGCTGGAGGCGGCTCCTGAGCCCCATGCCTGCTGCTTCCACCGCAGCCCCACCGAGCCAGGAAGCTGAGAGAGCCCCCCTCCCCCAGGACAGCCCCATGTGGCCACCGGCGCTGCCCACCGGGTCTCGGCTGGGCTGGCACAGAGGAATGAGGAGCAGACCGCGGGGGGCTGCCGGCTTCTGCCACCAGCACGAGCAGCAGGGGCAGGCGGGCTCCTGACAAGGCTGAAGACTGGGGTGTGCCCAGGGGAGGGGAGCCTCTGAGCTCCACATGGAGCATCGCTGTCCTACAGTCTACTCCGTGGTATCCAGGGAGCAGGCTATGAAAGTGCTGGAGACTGTCCAGTATCAAGCATTGTTGCGGGAAAGTAACCTGACCCGTCGGGAGTCCTGTAATGACAGCATCAGATATGGGCCACCAGACACGACTGTCTTCTCTATCCGGTCACTGTTCACAAAAGCCTAATACAGGGACTACAGAGTTTCAGAAATGTACCCAAGATACTTTCCTTTTCATCCAGAAACTAGCTTTTACTGGCTTCGTGTGTAAAAAGGTTTTTTTTTAAATCACCATTATACACAGATCCAGGGCAAACAGTTCTAGGCGGCTTACGATGAACATGAGCAGGCCCCAGACCCACCCCATGGCACTTGAGAGACAGCGGCTTCGGTCCCCCTAGCTGCAGCCCGTGCCCCTTGCATGTATGGTTCCAAACCCTTGCTCACCCTACCTGTTGTTACCTAGTAATGTCCTTCTGCAGGGAGTGAGGACCCTCCTGCCCACGTGCCCCTTCCCACCAGTGCAGACACACTTCCTGTGGTTTATAATAACGTTTGTGTAGATCGGGACGCAGTGTTTATAGGGTTTTAATTAAGCAGTCCTTCCTCCCAGCTTAGCTGTGTTAAGCTCGATGACTGGATTCCTCCTTCAGCTGACCCTCGAACCACACAGCTTTGGACTGCGTGGATCCACTTGTCCGTGGACTTTTTCTCCATAGTCTAGTCTGTGCATGTATTTTCTCTTCCTGATGTCTTAATATTCTTTCCTCTAGCTTAGTTTATTGTAAGAATACAGTATAAATGTAACATATAAAGTCTGTGTTAACTACATTATCAGCAAGGCTTCTGGTCGGTGGTAGGCTATTAGCAGTTAAGTATCTTTTTAAAGATTCTGAGAGTGAGAGAGAGCACAAGCGGGCAGGGGGTAGGGGCAGAGGGAGCAGCAGACTCCCCACTGGGCAGGGAGCCTGATGTGGGACTCGATCCCAGGGCCCTGGGATTATGACCTGAGCCTAAGGCAGACATTTAACCAGCTGAGCTTCCCAGGCGCCCCAGCAGTTAAGTTTCTGAGGAACAAAAAGCTGATTTTTTACTGCAGGAGGAGGGGGGTTGGCACCCCTAACCCCTGTGCTGTTCAAGGGTCAACGGTCTAGCCTTCATTCAAATTGCCTTTAGGCATTCAAATTTGCCTAAAGCAACCCCTACTTTCTAGGAGGCTTGTGACTCAAATGTTTGTAGGCCTCTGATGTTCCCTCCCCCTCAAAGCATCCCCTGGAGCCCTCTGTCCTGCTGCAGTCCATGGCTAACTAGCCCTCTGTCAGGGGACCTGCCTTCCCTACCATTCTGGGGTGCCCTTGAGGACCTGGGGAGCACCTCTTCCAGTCCCTGGGTAGAAATATCTGTATCCCCATCTTGCTGTTAAGGGAGGGCTTGGCCTATATTCCTTCCCATTCCAGACGTTTTTAGGCTCCGCTCCCTTGTCTCCCAGCCTCCACAAGCTAGACATCAAATCAGATGCTTTTCTCATTCCCAGTACTTTCTAGGTGAGCTGGGTTTCCCCACCCACCTCTGGAAGCTGCTTTTGGATCCTGTCCCTAGTGAGCTAACATTTCACAGTGAGGTTCCCTGTGTGAGTACCCCCATCCGTTGTGCTGGGTACTGGATGGACCCTCTCAACCTACAAAACCATGTCTCTCAGTCTGGGAAGGTTCTTGAATCATTTCGCTGGTGATTTCTTTCCCTGCTTTCTCTTCTCTTTCTGCAACTATTTCTAGTCAAATATTGGAATTCAAGAAGCTCAAAGAATTCCAAGTACAAGAAACATGAAGAAAAAAATACATCAAGATACATCATGATTTCCAAAATAATACTAAAAATGAACAAAGCTGGAGGGCTCACAGTTCCTGACTTCAAAACTTACTACAAAGCTATAGTCATCAAAAACAGTGTGGTACTGGCCTAGAGACAGATCTGTTGACCAATGAGTAGAATTCAGAGTCCAGAAAAAAACACTTCGACCTTGGACAATTGATTTTCACCAAGAGTGCCAGGACCATTCAACGGGGGATAATCGCTCTTTAACAAATAGACATCCACATACCAAAAAAAAAGGTTGGATCCCTACCTCACACCATGTATAAAAATTAAAACGGGTTAATGAACCAAATATAACAGCTAAAACTATAAAAGTCTTAGAAGAAAACCGGTGTAAAATTTCATGACTTTGGATTTGGTAATAGGTTCATATATACAAGGCAAAGGTATAACAAAAGAAAAAAATAAACTGAACTTCATTAAAGTTTAAAATGTTGTACACTAAAAGTCATTATCAAGAAAGGGAAAAGATACCCCACAGAAGGGGAGAAAATATTTGCAAATCACGTATCTGATAAGGATCTAGTATCCAGAGTATATAAAGAACTCCTACAGCTAGACAACAAAAGACAACCCGATTTGAGAATGGGTAAGGAACTTGGACAGGCATTTCTGCAAAGATACACAAATGACCAAAAAGCACATAAAAAGATGCTCAGCATCATTAGTCATTAGGGAAATGCAAATCAAAACCATGAGATGCCACTTCATACCATCGTGGTTATAAAGCAAATACACAGAAACCCCCCAAAACTAGGGAATAACAAATGTGGACAAGGACGTGGAGAAACTGGAATCTTTGTGCGTGGCTGGTGGGGATGTAAGCCAGGGGCAGCCGCTGGGGAACAGTCCCTCAAAAAAAATCACATGTGGGGCGCCTGGGTGGCTCAGTTGGTTAAGCGACTGCCTTCGGCTCAGGTCATGATCCTGGAGTCCCGGGATCGAGTCCCACATCGGGCTCCCAGCTCGGCGGGGAGTCTGCTTCTCCCTCAGACCCTCTTCCCTCTCGTGCTCTCTATCTCTCATTCTCTCTCTCTCTCTCAAATAAATAAAATCTTTAAAAAAAAAAAAAATCACATGTGGAATTATCACGTGACCAGCAATTTCAGGCCCGGGTATAGAACCAAAAGAATTCAAAACAGATCTTCAAACAAATACTTATACACAAAGGTTCATGGCAGCACAGTTCCTAACAGGTGAGAGGCAGAAACAACCCAAACGTCCGTCCCTCGTGGGTGAAGGGATAAACACAACATCCATCTGCGCAAGGGAACATGATTCAGCCGTAAAACGAGTGAAGAACCGACCCTTGCTACAGTGTGGGCGAACTCCAGAAACATCGTGCTGAGTGAAATGAGCCAGACACAGAAAGCCAGACTGTAGGACTCCATTTATATGATGGATCCCAAACAGATACACCCACGCAGACACAAGGCAGAGTGGTGGTGGCTGGGAGAGGGAGAGGAGGTGATAACACGCACTGGGACCTGGCTACATGACCCCGAGAACATCACATTTTTAAACTGTTGATGTAAGGTTATGGGAATTTTACCTCCATCAAAAAAACCCCAAACACTCGAGTCGCTCTGACCGACCCAGCCCCAAGCAGGCACTGACCCACGCTTCCCCAGCCCCTTTCTGCTGCTCCTGGTTCTGGATTCTTCCCCAGAAGAGGCACCTGCAGCTGCTTTCACCCACCCGGCTCCTATCCTCACATGGATTCCTCCACCTGGCTGAGCTCTACTTAATAAGACTGTTGTGTTGAAACGTTTTAGAAGAAAGTTAAAGAAAAACACATCTACTCTAATACACCATAAATAGACTCATTTAGGTAGCCAGGTGCTAATAAAGGGAAAACAAACATCCCTGCTGGCCCCAGGCTAAGCATCCTGTTAGAGCAGTGCCCAGTGTCAGGCAGCTGCAAGTCACGTCCGTGTGCTCAGACAAAAGCAAGAGAGGATGGACACCAGCCGGCGGCGTGGGGGCTGTCAGAGCTGTGCCGTGGCCCCGGCAGGTCCTGACTTGGTCTTCTGCTCTCGCTCGCGAGCAGCCACGAAGTTCAGCAAGTCGATGGCAGTGACGACCCCGAACACCATCTGCCTCTTACTGGACCTGCCGTTGCTGTGGTCTGAGGAACAAGGCAGTAGGTGTAAAAAGGCACCTGTGTGTGCATGCGACGAGAGGCCGCCCTGCCCACACCCGGGCCCTGCTGGCGGCTGAGCTCCTGAGGCCCCGCCCTGAAGCCACCCGAGGGTCTCCCCAGCAGCACCCAGGCCGACCCACAGCAACGGCCATCTTCTGACACGAGCCGTGTGGGCGAAGCTGCAGAGTAGGGTCCTGGCTTCTCCACACCAGGTCTGCCGGGCCAGATGTCCCAGTCTCACTACTCAGCCAATCTGTGGCCCCCCTTGGTGCCTGCGCTTGAGTTTGGGCGTGAAGTTCCAACACTGCCCACAGCCATGAACTACGGCAGCTCATAGCTCTGGCCTGTCTTCAAGCCCGGGCCTCTCCCGCGGTGGCTGCCATCCTGTGCCACCAGTGGGCAGAGAGGGTTTTGGGGATGGTTAATTTTGTGTGTCTGCTTCACTAAGTCACGGGGTGTACAAATACTCGGTCAAGCATTATTCTGGCTGGCTGGCTGAGACCAGATATTTGATCGGGTACACTGAGGACAGCAGACGGCCCTCCCTGGCCTGGCAAGCCGTGCCTAATCAGCCGAAGGCCTGAATAGAACAAAAAGGCTGATGCTCCCTGAGTG